TTTAAGAAACAAAACAGTAATTGACGAGAGAAAATAAAGAAATAAACATTCAAAATGATTTAACAGCAAGTCCCTCTGCTAGAATATAATACAACTAAATTACTATGACACACTGATTCACAAAAGACCACAACGCCAACTCTATTCTCTCCTCCTCCAGGTGTTTTTCAAAAGACACCAGTCGTCAGGTGACAGATCAGCAGGTGCACTTCCGTACGTCCAGTTAGGGCGGAGGAGACACCTAAGACAAGAGAGACAAGAGAAAGAGAGAGTGGGACAGAAAGGCACGCATCCAGAATACGTCTCCAGACTTAACACAGTATAATAGATACAATTATATAAATACATATTATGTTCAAAATGCATATTGAATAAGGCATAATGTGCAGTCATTATTGCAAAATAATGATAAAATAATAATCCCCAAGCGTGATGATTATTCTTTTTTATGGCCCTTATCAATCATGGCTTCCTTATCCACTCAATTGTCTCTATCACTCTCTCTCGCTGGTGTGTGGTGAGCGCATGGGCCGTTGTACTGTGGCTGCCGTCGTATCGTTCAAGTGGATGCTGCACACTGGGACTGGTTGAGGAGAGATTCCCTGATATGACTGTAAAGCGCTTTGGGTGTATAGTACATATGAAAGTGATATAAATGCCTCATCCATTCGTTCATTTATTCATTACTCTGAAGTGTTTATTTTGTCCTAATGAGCTGACTGCATCGTATCAATAAATGGCCATAAAATTCTAATTTGAGTTGACATTATTTTACTATGTGAGAAGAGAACATTTCAGAGAGCCGCGCTTGTTTAAAAAAAAAACAATATTAGCTGCTATATGATCTTTATTTTGATTCTGTTCTGTGTATAGTAAATTCAGCAATTTTGAGTTTCTTACATTTGTGTTTTGACATCAAACATAAAACATGAAACATGTTGTTTACAGATGCATCAGATATTCCACCTTAACAACCCATGCAAAACTGACCGGAAGTGACATTTAACCAAATCCATTGAGAAATTTGCATGAAGACATGGCAATGCATAAATAATATTGGATAAAAACCTGTTTCTTCTCCTCCGTATCAAAAAGTTGAATTAACAAACCAAATAATGTCTTGTTTAATGTTTATTTTATACTTTATTTTATTTTATATTAATATTGCTTTTATTTTTATGACTATTACTGGTGCCTTATTGATATTTTGGCAATATTGTCTCCAAAACAATCAAGCTAATCACACTTAGAAGAAAAGGTTCTATATAGAACCTTAAAGTGCTTCATAGAACCTTTTAGGGCATTTTATGGATTTAGTTTTAATTAATTAATTAATTTAGTTTTAGTTCATTTTTAATTAAAATTAAATGTTATGAATTAAACAGCTCATAAACATACTTGATCATTAGAGAGAAAAAAACTCATTAAACATCTGATGAAAGTATTATGCAATCATTTAAGACATTTCTCCTTGGCAAAGTGTATAGCCTACTTTGAAAATGAAAAAAAGACCAAGTAAACCATGTCTATGGTAAACTTGAAAGTCTAATTAATTTGAACAATGAAGCATCAGAATGTAACCACCTGAAAGATCAATCATTCAAATGCAGGATGGGAATATAACAATGAGTCATGATGAGGATGATGAAGTGACAGGATGAAACATACGAGGCGGTCTGTGTTTGTTGATACACCAACATTCATTCATCTTTTATAACTGCCAGCAATTTGATTCATCACACAGTCTCGTGCCTTTGTCTTCATCCATTTCTGGAAATATGTATCCATTGTTCCCCTGCAGTCACACCCAAACACAACCGCTGAAGCAGATTGCCATTCCCACACACAAATCTAAAGATAAGTGTAGTGTATGACATAGCTGCACTGGCTGATGCGTAATGGTAACAGAAAAGAAACAGAAGCAGTAAACATGACCCCTAACTGTACATCCCAGCAATGCAAATAAACTTGACTGTGAGCCATAACAAACCAGTTGCGTTCTCAAACTCAATTGTTCTGCCATCGTAAACATGCGATGGAAACAAGCTCAGTGGGAACAAGCATGTTTTCAAATCGATTTAACACAGGGATTTACTATTTCATACTGGGGAGGAAGAAGAGTGAAGAGACATCACTGGTATTTCAGCAAAAGGACCGTCATTGGAGAGGTTTGTTTTTGTGTCTGAAATGTTTAAGATATATTGTTTACGTCCACTTTGAACGTAATGAGAATTTCCCCCTGGGAGATCAAATACTATTACTTTCTGTTTTGAACGCTGAAATTTCTCATTACATTGTTGATATTTATTCAGTGTAGTTATAGTAATGTTCACTAGGGGGCAGCATACAAGAGACAACCGTATAGGCTAATTGCTTTCTATCTATCTATCTATCTATCTATCTATCTATCTATCTATCTATCTATCTATCTATCTATCTATCTATCTATCTATCTATCTATCTATCTATCTGTCTGTCTGTCTATCTATCTATCTATCTATCTATCTATCTATCTATCTATCTATCTATCTATCTATCTATCTATCTATCTATCTATCTATCTATCTATCTATCTATCTATCTATCTATCTATCTATCTATCTCTTCACACAGTTATCCTGAACCAATTTCACCTTACCACAGCAGCAAATTTCACATCCAAAATGCAGCAAAACACCACATACATGACTTATACACAATACAGTATTGTAGAAGTGATTTGAACATAACAGTTATAGAACATGCAAATTGTCCCGTGTAGAGTTTTGTCATTGTTTGTGTCTGAGTGAGAAAATAATTCATGTCATTTGAAAGATGTATTTTGTGCCAAAGCAACGGAAACCGGTCTACATTTAGCCCACATAGACTGTGCAGTTGTGCTCACTGTGAGAAGAGTTTTTAAAAAAGTGACCTTAATATTGAGAAATGGTAAAACAAATGTAAAAGATTGTAAAAAAAACAGTCACAAAAAGTGTAAATAACACATATTTTTTATGTGAATTGATATATGAATATAGAATATGTTTCTTATTTGGTATACTTAATTATTAAAACAGTTTATTATTCAGGGAAGCTTTTTTTTTTTTATCTCAGCTATTGTAAATGAAAACAACCACGTCATCATGTGTTTGGGGAAATCAGCCCAGCTTAACAGGCGGTTTGTGTTTTGCGGTTTGAACTGGATTCATTGGCTGCGGTTAGTAGTTACTCATGTACACTAATTGGCACATACAGCTGATGAGAGATCAGAGGAAAAGACCAATTGCTCTCGTCTGGGATTTGGCTCCACTTCACAGTTCTGCTGTCACATTTTTTTAGCATTATGTAAATGGAGGCACTTGCCAACCTGGTTAACTCCCAGACACGTACAACTTGCGGATCTCTAAGAATTACTGCATTAATCTGGTTCATTATTCACTTCAATTGTCTTTTCCAGTCACATATAAAGCAGCAGTACACATTTACTCATTTAAAGCTAAAAGAAAAAAACACTAATAAATGTCCAACACTGACCTGAATAAGTGCATATATTTACACTGCTGTGAGGCACTGTGAAGGAATGTGATTAGTAAACTATCCGATTTCATATAGTTAAAGTCACCATGAAATGAAAATGGACAATTATTTTTTTATGGAATGTTAAAGTATTTATTATAAATTATTTATCCATGCACATCATTATTTTTATATGACATCTCCTTTCTTCTCTGATGGCGTGTTTACTGGCGTGAGGGCGGGGCAACCTGTCACTCACATGAGATTGACCAATAGCAAACCACAACCATCTGATCAATTCCCCATGGACAAGTCCAGCCCTCATTGTTTTCTTGTTCGAGAAGCCGGATATACCGGACAATAGTGATGAAAAGACTATCGCAACTCCCAATTCATGCTGATTTTAACCTTAGATTTGACCGGAGTGTCTTTTAAATCTTCTTAAATCTTTTGTGTATTTGTTATGGATGGCACGGTTGTTGCTCAAACATGGACAAATTTGAATAAAATCATTCAGAAGCTAAAATTAAACATACAAGAGCTCGTGACACCTTGATTTTTCAAGGAAAAGGGAAAAATACCACAAATTGTTGAAGTTCAAAAGTTTGTTCGTCACATGCTCAATTGGCATTGAAATTGCACCGTGACTGTGCGTAAGAGATACACGAAAAAAAGAAGAAAATAAAAATAATAAAAATAGTTCATGACAACCATTTAAAACAGTTTCACATTCATAATAAATTATATATTAGATAAGCTTACGTCATCATTGCGGAAGAATACTTAAACTTAAGCCCATTCAAACAAAAGAAAGACTCACAAGTGCACAATTCTCCATTCAAACACCTCTTATAGTACGTTTAGGCCTTTTTGTACAACATAAAATGACTGCCGATATTAATCTCACAACAAAAAGTGCAAAAAAGGGTTTGCTTTCTGTGACACAATTGGAAGAGAATGTCTATCCAATCAATTATCACTAAAATGCACATTGATATATGCAAGGGTGCGTCCTGCCCTCCTGCATTTCTGCGGAAGTCTCTAAAGCATCCTTATCCCCTCTGCACACTCACCCTAATGTTAGAGATAAACACAAGAGAAGGGGTTTAGTGAATGTTAGTGAATTGGTAAAACTAGGTGGAAAAATCTTGTACATTGGGTTACTGTTACCATTTAAAGGGATACATTTTGTTTTTGATCAGAATGTGGAAGGTCAGTGTCACCAAACATAGCAATGCAAAAACTATTGCTTATCTCATAAAGATAAAGAACGCCTGTTATTCAAATTATAAAGCCTGCATTTAATGAGCTGCCCTAAAATGCAATATCAAGCAAGTTATGCGTAAAATAACTGCATTTGACACCAATCAAGTGTGTTCATATATGACAATGACTCAGAGTAGCTGTATGATCCCGTGTGTATTCGACACACCTTTGAAAAATCGCACTGTAGTCCCGCCCACCCATATTTAAACGCGCCAATGTCAGCTGAACCTCAGACTTCACAAGAGCGTGATCTTGGCGAGCGCGTGCACACCCGTGGGAAAATTCTCAAGGCAGATTTGCGCGTGGCACTATCTTAACCTGAGATAAAGGTCAGTAAAGTTTATATGTATGATGTACTAGTATAACATACTCAGAATGTAGGCTATTTAAAAAAGAAAAACTAAGGGAAAGATGTAGGTTATAATTAGTTGGCAACTAATTAGAGCTGATGGACATGGACTAATATAGATTCGTGCACCACTCTAGTTTTGTATATATTTAATCATATAATTATATTAAATGCCGGAATTTATACCAGTAGTAGCCTATGTGATGCAAATCAAATTGCTAGCAATATGTTATTAGGCTAATATGTGCGCGGGGAGAAAATCTAGTGGGGATCAATTAATATTTTCCTTCCCTTTATTTTAGGAACACCACAGTTCCCTGGAGTTGGAAATTTTGGGTCCAACTCGGAAGTTTCAGTAGCTGGAAATTCAATACTGACCAGGTGCATTGGAAGCCCCCTCCTGACCAAGGGGGCGTGAGAACATTATTTGCCCACGATGGGAGCACTTTTCCCGGTTTTTGTGTATTGCATCAGCCTGCTCTCCTCACAACTGTTGGCACTACCGGTGAGAAACAGGTAGGAATCCGCCTTTTAAATGTCTCAGATTTGTCGGTCGGTCCAACTTTTGTTCTGGATGCTCATTATTAGTAGGAGTTGCCTTTGTGTGTTTTTTGTGGTGAAGTAATCTAACCAAGCTCTCTGAGGGATGGAAAAAAACGGCTGAGATGTCTATTGAAGGAATCGTTCTTTTGAGTCGAATCTTTTTAATGAATCTGCTGAACGGGTTTAAAACCGGTCTAAATGATTTGTTCAACAATCGGAGGTACTCGAGTCAATAAATCACTGATTTAAACCAAAAACTGTCTGAAAATGCAAGTTAGACTATAGACTACTTTAATTTCATTAAAATGGGCAAACACCTTTTTAAGCAAATTATGTATAGGCTATACATTTATTTCAGTATTATTTATTATAAATGTAAATTATATTAAGGACTTTATGTTTTTATGAACTGGATAAGAATGAAATTACAATAAAGCCCCTAATTAATAAATAAATTTAAACAGCAAGAAACGGCTTTATAATGTTTTTAGATCTTTAAAAGGGATTGGTCAAAAGAACCGAGTCGAATGCGCAAATTCAATATTTCAAAAAGTTAAACACACCCGTTGAAAGTCACACTTAACTTTTTCCCCTCAAACTATTTCGAAGTAGGCTGGCACCAGGGATGTGTTATGTAAAAAAAAAAATGTTATTACACAAAGAGACGATGTTTTGTCGCGACTCGCGATGGATAGGCTAATGGTTGCAGTGAACAAGGTCAGTTAGGATGGTAGACGTGACTGTTTAAACGCACGCATCCCACCATTCATTCACCAGCATAGTTGGCCGCCTGCTGCAGCTTCTTGGTAAAGCAAACTTTTACAGTAACACTTTACGATAGTAGTTTATACAGATAAGAAGTTTAGGCTATACATTCTCGTATACAAAGTTTGCATGATAACAGTAACTATTTGAATGCGCATTGAATGCTGATGTAAAGAGTCACATGACCAGAGCAGTTTGTGCCTCTGAAAGATGATGGCTGTCAAAGCTCCAAATAAGCATTAAACATGTAGCTACATAAATATAATACTTAAAGGGTCTATTATTAATATATTATTAATGATTAGCTACTCATATAAATCATGCTCATAACAGATATCGAATTTGAGCAGACACATTTGTGACCAGTGGGGAAGCCCAAAACCTCATTTTGGATAAGGAACTAAGTAAGTCACATAATGAAAAGTCGATTTCCAAGTACTTTTACATGTGAATTTATTATTGGATTTTCATTTCCCTTTCCCCAAAATTGCCTGATATAAGAACAACTTAAAAAGTTTCTATAGCCTATTGTGGAACTTTTTGACAATGGTAGTTTCCAGCCTGTGACCAGGAATAAACATTTTCTGAACTTTTATTAGAAAAGGCGTGCAGTTTGTGTCCAAAGAGTAAAATCTTAGATTAAACGGGTTCAGATAAGACAGTTTTACTACAGTGTGCCCTTTTACATAAGGTAAGCAGCTAAAGTAATTGCATCATATAGTTTTTGGCTCCTACCCTCACAAAAAAAGTCGTTAGTCAATTGGTGCTCATCATGTGATTAATAGAATACTTTGTCACTGCCATGCCTTCAAAAGCTACACAAATGAATGTACAATGTTTTTTTTTTTTTTTTGAGCAGTGATAAACGTTTGTATCATTTCTGAGTCAAGGTTAGGCGAAAAAGAAACAGCCTGACTGAGTGGTGCAGGAAATAGAGTATAATTCCTCAACAAATCTGACAAAATGGTAGCCTGGTGTGGGATCAAGTACTTTAGTTATACTGTAAATATAAATATACTGTAGTTATTTGATTGGCAGCAAATCTCTGAAATAGGATATTGGGGTAGTTATTCCTGAAAACCGCAATTTAAATGTATTAAAGCAATAACATGTTTTGTCAAGTTATTATTTCTGGCTGATGACTAATGACGGCATACAAAAGGAATGAATTGCAAAGTATGAGTGTCTGTGTGCCCTCTTCTGGCTGACACCTGCATACTGTGCTCACATCCGTTTTGCTGAACTGTGCAATTCTCTTCATCTTGTCGGCCTGAGGAACAGATGAACTAAAACTGATACTTCAGGCTTTGAAAAGCTGTAATAGAAAAGTTTAATCCCTCCCAATCTGAATGCCAAAATTTAATGGGTAGTTTTTTTACCAGACCTTTTTCTTACCTTCATAGCAGCTCATTAATATCTTGTGACACTCTTGCACCCGATACTGTTAGCCTACATGACAAACCATAATGTCAAGGGAAGGACTGTATTTGTCCTTGACCTACAATATTTACAGTATAATTGTTGCACATGCATTCCGCATGCTTTTCTGCTGGTCTAAGCGATATTTGGTGAGGACATTAGACTGATATTTAGTCACAGACGTCTGAATAGTCGATTTACAGTTACAAAGAAACAATGAACAGCTGATAAATACTGTGGTGTCAGACAGTTTCTGATTACTGCAATAATGTCAGGTGCCTTTAAAGAGACAGTTCACCCAAAATCAAAATATCTGTCATCATTGATTAACCCTCATGTCATTCCAAACCCATTTGAGAGGTTTAGTAGGATGTTCACACTGCTCTTCTGCATACAATGAAGTGGCCGGGTGCTCCAAATCTCCAAAAAGCCTGATAAGAGCATCGCTAAAGAAGTCCCTATCTCATCTCTGACCTTTCAAAGTCTCTCCCTCTCAGCTTTTTGTCTCTCTTGTCTTAATTCATCTCAGAGAACTCTACGTTCTTCACATGGACTCACTCAGTGTTCGATAACCATCCATGTAATTGTACACAGAACGTACAGCAACCTTTGCCATATCAGTCAGGGATTTTTATTGTTTAACATTCTGTGACATGCTGTCCCTGAATCGAAAATGGCGGTTAGTGAAGCCCGTTGTGGTGGTTTAAACATGATTTTGGTCCCTGAAAAAAAAACTATGCAAACATAGCCTAGTTTTCTCCATTACATAATATCTCAAGGTTTAGTTCGTGAGAGAATATGCGGAGGCAGGAGCCAAACGACAGGTCCGATGTAGATTTTTTAAACTACTTTCGGAAATCTGATCACCCCACTGTGGTGGGGTTAGGTTATTTGGTGTACACCATATATATATATATATATATATATATATATATATATATTCCTCATTAGCGACTGTTTCTATGGGCCTCTATACATACGCCATCCGCCATATTGGAACGGTCAAAGCTGGTCCATGAACAGTTGAGAGCAAGTTGACTGAGCGTCTGCAACCGTACTTAGATGTATGTTTGAATATCTATATCTGCAATAGACTTCAGCAGATGATTTTGCTAAACTAACACAATATGGCAAGACGAAGGCCTTAGCTAACACGACAATAAAAAGTTACCAAAGTAAAAGTAAAAACATTAAAAAGTACCATAGTGAAAACCTGTAATATTGAGTTAATATTCTCACCTGTGAAAGGTTATTTATTTCATCAGAAATTTAAATCTCAGCATTCACAACCAGAATCTGAATCAGAATCACAATGTTGAGTGTGAGTGTCTTAATGTGAGTGACGACACGTTGACTGTTCCAAGATGGCGGCCGGTCGCACCGACGTGTCTGGAGCGGTTGAATGTGGCATCTATATATATATATATGTCTATGCTTTTCACAACAATATGGAAGAAACATTTTAGGTTCCCCAAAATAAATTCAGGGATCAGTTCTAAAAAGAACTATTTCTTTCTTAGTGTGAAGAACATTTCAATAATCTGAATTATTTTTTTAGACTATAAAGAACCTTTTGTGCAATGGAAAGGTTCCATGTATGTCAAAGGTTCTTCATGGAACATCAATGCCAGTAAAGTAGCTTTATTTTTTAAAAGTGTATCATCTGCATTCCATGACTGAAGCGAACACCGTCTGTTTCAACGCTGTGGTCGAGAGGATTGGCTCTCTGTATGATAATTCACTGAAATCTGGGACATTTGATCCTCTATAATCAGGATTTAAGGAAGTCGATGTTACTGTCTATTTTGTAGGGCATCAGACAAAGCAATGTTTTTCTTCTGTCAATTAAGTAAAATGCTGTTTGGTTGTCATATTAAGCTATTGATTTCCTATTGTTAACTCTGGAGGAAACAAGTCCTAAAGCTCGCTCAAGGGGAAGCGTGCTGTCTATGACAAGTTGGGTCACACTCAATGGGAATCTGGGCCGGTCATGTTTGGACTTGAGTTATGCAGTCCTCCGTTTACAATATAAACATTAGCATTTTACACCATGCCGCTTGGTCATTATTGTTAGAGGCGAGAGGGAAAACTCATTCGTCAGGCAGAATTCCGTTGTGGATTAGTAACTAAGACCTAAATGCCTTTCTCCTCATCCTTAAGCGACATGTTTCCACTCTGATCAGAAACCATAAAAACCATAAAAACAAACACACAAGAGGAGGAAGTGCTTAAAAAGCCCCTATCAACACCATAATCTAACCATTAACAGACTTAAATCACTTTCACTTTTTTGAGTTTCACTATTGCTATCCACAGCTTAACGTGCCCATATATATACTGTATATATATAAATATATATATAATATTTAAACACCTTTCCAGGCCCATAACCCCAACATTGTAAATTATTTGGAATTTAAAATGATATAAAACATTTTTCATATGTATATTAAACATATTATATTAATTAAACATATTATGTTTAATATTTAACACTAAAAACAATATATATTCCCTCCAATACTGAACATTCGTTTTTTTATCCTACTGTTTCTGAACATAAAGTTCCCATTATGTGCATTATGACCATGATAGAAGCTGGTTTTAATGGAACAAGCATCTCATAGTAATTAGAGAAGGTCACTTGGTTTGACTCACGGTCACTTTTCCCATAAAAGAGCGCAGGTACTATAATCACTTTTTTTTTTGTCCAGCTAAATATAAGCAGCTGATGACCAATTCACAAACAGCCATGACCAGTTTCATAGAGGTGCAAAAATCCCAGCCTTACGGCAAGAACAAACAATAGTACTGGATTGATCTGGATACATCTGACCTGCCTCTCTCAATGAAGCATCAAGTAGTAAATCACAATCAAATATCAGATCTCCTTGTTTCCCCACATAGGATTTGTTCCCACAAGGCATCACAGGGTTTTCGTGGCAGTCCGCCAGTACCAGGCCGACAAGAGGTGTGCAGCTAAGAGCATGTTGCATTTCAAAAGATGAAATCACTCGAGACACAAAGTCCACTATCAAAGACTGTAGGCTTGTACTTCAGGACATAACCAGGTTGATTGCTCATTTGATAGAGCCTCAACTTTAATTCGACGTAAAAACTCGACTGCTTCTCTGGTTTCTGGGAGTGCCTCGTCTTTTCAGCGCATTGCAAACAGAGTTTCTGCAAAACATGATTACCACCTTTATCCCGAGATGGGTTGAATTTCGAGGGGCAGGTGCTAATTTTCCTAGCTGAACACTATGCTCAGCGTAGAAATACCCCAGAATCACAGATCCTATTTCATTGTGGTCTGTTGGTTAAATGTCGCCAGGTGAGATTTTTAATTAGCACGTTTGTTCAATTATATGGAAAGTGGCTGCCCTTCTCAGGTTTATTCACAGTATGACAGAAGGATCACAATAGGATGGATAAACAGGACATTTCTAGAAACAACAGCTATACTTGCTCTAACATCCTGGCAACCTTCCTTGCAATGTGAGTGAGTTTTGTTGATGACACATAGGATGAGCCATGAGACAGGGTGGTATAGCAGACATTTTAAAGGATTTGAGAAATATGGATGTGTGACAATGGAGTCTCTGAGAAGGTCAAAGGGCACACGGATGAAGTCTACGGGCAGCTTATCTCTGCTTAAGCATCTAAAAAAAAGTCATAGTTGGATCAAGTTCAAAGAGAAACTACTGGTCAGGGGGCAAACACTTAATTTTGATCATGTGAAGCTGCTGAGATAGTTTTCAGAGGTGTGGAGACTTACGTGCTGAATTCGCAAGAATTGAATACAGCATAATATATTAGACCAGTGGCATTACATTACATTAAAACGGGTGAAATTACTATTCATCTGAGACACTTTGGGCAGATAATCATTATATTTTAAAGGGGTGGTATTTTGGTTGACCACAATGCAAAGGAAAAAAACAGCTGGCTGCATAGTGATATTTCTGAGGAAATAAGATATTAACTAGATAAAATAAGAAAATTCATGTTAAAATGTATATATATAAATAAGGATATTATATTAAAACATATATTTACATTTATATTAAGAATAAAAAATATAATACCTAATAAATAGACCTAATTATTAAACTTTTGGATGAAAAAAGAGCAACTGCAAGAGTAACTGATATTTCTGGAAAGTTGAGTTTTTAAGCATTCAAGAACGTGCGAGCAAAAATGCTAAACACATGTCTGGCACAAGCCAGTGTTACTCAGCAAGCTTTTTCACTAAGTTTAGTATGACACCGTGAGATTAGATGGTGTGGTCCAACCTAACAATACACCCTGTCATTTCTCAAATTTCAGCTTTAGGGTTTTTGTATAAATGGGTTGCTCTTTTATAGTTATGCTTTCCCACTTCATTTGGAAATAAAAGTACAAAAATGCAGGGATCTTTGCGAATAACGAGGCTTGAAATTGCCACCGCCTTAACATGCACCTGCCATGATCTGCTAACCACTGCTAAGAGCAAGACCTGAACTAGTGGCCTGTGCAAAAACCAAAGGTTTCAGTGTCTAGTGTGATAATCAAACAGAGGGCAGATGGCCTCAGCCATTACTGCAAAACCGGAGTAAATCAAGTGTGTTTATAGCATACGCTGTGTCCCAAAGAGTCATACCCTTTTTGAACAGTGAGCATATATTGTGTGGTTCCAGTAAATGTGAGCATATAAGTGTGGTTGCAGTACATGTTTGCACGGTTGACCAAACTGCACATTTAGTATCAGCAGTAAATGATGCTTAATGTTGAATCAAGCCGTTTATGTGCAAAAAATGGACTTGAAACATTCATATAACTTAAATAATATTAATTATAAAATATATTATAATATTCAAATCAATTTTATTTAGGTGTTGTAGCCACTATATATATATATAAAATGTAATGTAGTCATATAATATTTCTATCAATATAATTTTTGTATATTGTGTGTTCGACAAGAGTATAGGTCAAATATAATTCAGATTGACTAATCAGAATGAAGTATTCCAAAGTGTAATAAAATAACATATCAATTCCTGTTCAAGAGCAATATTTATAAGTCCTACTTCTGTCTCATTGCAGGTTGGACTTCATGACAAGACTCCATCAGTTAAGAGAGGAAGACCCCATCTCTCCAGATGTTACTGAGCGCCCAAATACTGACCATGGCGTCTCCATCGACCGCACCGTTCTGTGGAGGGCCATCCTCTCCAGACCACCACCTCCAGACCCAACAGGAAACCCACTCCACGTTGGTCAGCAAAAAGCAGGAGAATCCAGCCAAACAGGTGAAAGCCCTAGGCAGAGAGACCGTCGCAACGTGCACTCGCGAGGCCACCACAACCATCACCACGGCCAGCTGATGCGCGTCGGATGTGTCCTCGGTACCTGCCAGGTACAAAACCTCAGTCACCGCCTCTACCAGCTGGCCGGCCAAAGCCGGCGCGAAGACTCCCCCATTAACCCGAGCAATCCACGTAGCTACGGATGAGTCTAGGGGGACGTCCGGCTAAAACTAAGACCAAGAAAACCGTGTTACATGTCTCTCTCCTGGTGTTTGTCTATTTTATTGCAGTACTGCTGTAGAACTCTTTCCTGCTCTCTGCCTTGGTTTTCTGGAGTGTATACTGTGCCTTTTTGGACAGAAAGGACCTCTTGTTACTTGATGGCAACTTTTGAATTCAGTGCCTCTGAAACACTTTGACTCTGGCCTCTCATTTTATGGTACTCAAAACAGATTCTTTATTTTGATATTGTCATCTTGTTAAGTCCTCAGATAAGAGATTATGCCGGGTTATGCCGCATTACATCCAGACTCATCAAAGGCTGTTAACTTCTACACCACTGATCAAACCCGCTGAGCCTTTAATGTGGATTTCAACAAAGTGTGCGATCGGATTTCTGTCAGTCTGAGGGCCATGTGTTCGAAAAGACTCTGAACTCTCCCACCTCGTGTGTCTCCAATGCACTTTTAAGAAGAAAGCAGACTTTCTCTGATGGCTTCGGAGCTTGTTTAAGACCCCCATCTGATACCTTCTCACATGAATAGTTACAGCAAGTTTGGGTTTAAATCTTGGGTTTTAGACAATGGCGAATTGTGACTTTATAAACACAGTGGTCTCTTGATTGAACCCACGAACAATACAGTAGCAATCGCCACTGAATCCGGATTAACACATTGTTGCTTTCCAATGCACTTTGAGGTCTGGCGCCTGGAATATTACACTTCACGTGATTTATAAAGTCACGAGAATGAGTTATAATCCCCAAGGTCTCAGTTTCCACTCTGACAGAATCCTGCTGGGCTTTGCCACATTTCATAAACAGAAGCAAGACTTTTCGGAGCATTCTTAAATGATGGCTAAAGCTCACCCATAAATAACCATATCCAAGGTTACAGCTCCATAACAAAGGAGAAAACTAGCCGAAGGGCTATTTGAAAACCATTTCTCCCATCTTGATAGTGAAAAAAAAAATTTTCATCATTTACTCACCCTCATGTCGTTCCAAACGCTTTATGACTTTTTCATTCTGCGCATCACAAAAGAAGTTATTTTGAAAAATGTAATGCAAGTCAAAGTGATTCACTGTTGGTTTTGGACCCCATTGACTCGCATTGTATGGACAAAAAAGTATTCTTTTTAAATTGCTCAATTTTTAATATCATCAAATGCCCTCAAAATATTCTCAACACACATCGACTGGCGTCATTTTAAGTCATTCACAAGCTCATTCTTGTAACTCTAATTAAAGATTGTAGTTATACCAAAATATGAGGCGCGGGCGTGCCAAAGTCTTTCGGGAACATGGCCTTCCAAAAACACTCTCCATCCGTGTCATGTATTTTAAGAATTCCCTTTTGTTATAATAATCATCTCTGAATACGTGGGTGGATACACACACCAAAAATACCCAGCAGACATAGGAAAAGTAGCCGTTAAAACCGAGCGATTTAAAACTCTTCCCTGGCTTTTGGGGGTCTGTGGATGTCGAGGGAATGCTGTGAGACATCAAAGTGCATGTCTGAGGATTAAAATAGCTGGAGTAATCCTAAAAATCCTACTTAAACATCAAATACTCAATTTCGGCAAACTCTCAGAAAGCATTAGGTTTCCCACTATGTGCTATATGTTATAGGACAACTTGCTTTCAAATTACTCCAGAAAGGCAGAGAACTGACCAAAAAACCTGAACTTACTTGATACCTTTCTGTGCATTCACACTATACTGTTATTCAGTGATCTTTTATTTTACATATAGGCTTAAGTTTCAATTGGATTTGTTGGTGTTGATAACTGTAAAAGTCTTTCTCTTTGTCCTGGCTGATTCTAATGATGATGATCATAGGAAGCAATAATCGCTGGTGCTTTGGCTCTAATCTGCACAAAGGCTCTCTATATATTCGACGACACCATTCGCTCTGCTGTAATCGATCCAATTTATGTCTCGTGACTGATCATTAAAAGGCTTTTAAACTGCTGAGAGCTGGTTAATCTGTACTTTTTGTGTACATGCACAGGGAGAGCCTCGTGTTGACTTATATATTGATCACATTCCTTTTTTCGACTATTTAACTATCTATTTATTTATTGTCGGATGAGTTGTTGTGAACGTCTTGGTGACATGGGTTGGAACGTAACAAGTGCGTCAGTATCTGGCCCTGATCGTTCTTCGTACGCGCGTGTTTTTGTGTGCTTTTGTGTGTATCGCATATTTTCATGACCTTTGTCCCCCTTTAAAGCAGTACTTAGTTCATTAAGAATAACACAAGCATTAGCTTTCACAGATGAGCACTGGGCACAAACTGTCTTAATGATGAAGGAATACAAAGAACGTTGTGAATCTGTGACTTTTAAAGACGTATGTGTGAGTGTGTATGAACGTCATCCTGACCATGAGCATAACCTTAAATATTTTAGTTGATACTAAAGGTCAGTTTTGTTGTTACTACCATGCGAAGCACTTTAAAGCATGTTTCTATGTTTGTCACTTGAACTTGAGTTGTGTGTTATGAATTTGAGCAGGATCTGTATGAATGTATTTTAAAGGGCGTTAGCACACTGAACTAGGAAGAGGTCAGTATCATGTACGCTATCTTTTGTGAATCCTATTATTAGATCTGATATTTAAGTTAATGTATTTATGTTTGCATTTGTGTCACCAAAGACGTTATTTATCACATACAGTGTTTTCTCACACACCAGAGGTGTCCTCTGGGTACGACAAATTTTTATATTTTTGGGAAGACGATAAAATTAGTCTGTCACGCCCATACAATGTTATTTTTTGTCTGTGAAATAAAGCACTACGTAGTAGTGAGATGAAATCTGATGTGTTGTTCTCTTTTAAATGTGAACAGCGGTTGTTTGTTACTTTGAAAGGACACACAGACGTCGCAAAACACAAATTAAAGGGATTGTTCACTCAAAAATAAAAATACCAGAGGTCTAGAAAAATATGTTTTATCTGGGTTACTTGACCTATTCGACAGGTTTAGCTGCAGAATAAATGTATCATAAGTGACAAATAAGCCTGTAAATAGGAAATTTGACAACCCAAATCATTTATTTTTCCAGGATGCCACATCCAGATGGTGTTGCTTTAAGTCCAGGACAACTGTTGTATCGCTCATTATATATATAGAAATGAATTTTAATTATAATTTAATTGTATATATCACAATCATTACTTACAATAGTAAAACTTAATTATAATTAATTTGAACACATTTGAAATATAATTTTATATTTAAAATTTTTATTTTCTATTCATCTAATTTTGCTTTTTTTTTTGTTCTACATAAATTAGCCCAGATATTAAATCATGTTCACTTTTCACAAATTTGCTTAAAATATAACTCAGGTCGTCTAGTCACCTTGTACTGCAGTTAACGTTAAGTTATATAACGCACAACTGACGAATACTAACTATTAACAAATATGCCTGTGTCTGTCTGCAATATCTGTCCAAGCTTATCCAGTATCTTTATGAATCTAAAGAGCACCGGAACCGCACAAACATATTCCTGTAACTGCAACACCCAGATTCATAAACTTTATTACACAACATCTCCCAATGCACAAATCTGTGCTAATAAACCAATGATGCCCCTTGGCATCAGACACAACAAGTTAAACATTAGACCGGTTAGCAAGCCAATAAAAATGCTCACACTCTACTCATACAGGTCACCACGAAATTTCCACTCAGGAAAAGTTGGTTTCTAACAGAGCCATTAATAAGTGACCGGGCAACTATCACAAACACCACGCAACTAACAGCTGTGCAGAAAGAGCAGGTCACTGTGAGATAAACCAATCAGCTGACCGTGTGATAGGGTGACCACAGCCTTCATAGGAAAAAAATAGTATTACTAAATCTAGTTTAACAGTGAAAGGCATTAATGTTTAATTTAGAGCAGAACGTTTTCAAAAAAGCTCAATGCGATTGGACGACCATGTCCTTCAAATGCAATAGGACCGACGTAAGTCCACAAACTGCATATGACCATTTTTTTTATGTCATCTGACACCGTATCTCTCATATCTGTGGACCAAGAGTGGGAATGCCGATGGTAATTTCAAGCCAGGATTGCATCATTCTTAACACGTGATTTACATTCAGACAGTTCTATTTCTGATTCATGTCACAGGTTCTCATAAAAGATGTTTAAATGGTGAATTCCTGAGGCACTTCAGAGAAAACAAATGTCTAAAAGTTCAAGGTTACAGAGAAAGCTGACCACCTTTAACCTTTCAATGATTCACAGTCCAGAGTGCATCAGGCTGTGTATGAAACACCCTTATAAGAAGCACTAAGCCACCAATATAATATTTATCCTAAATATTATTGTATTCAAATAAAGGCAAGTGTAGGAAGGTCTTCAGCTATTTTTATTTTTGCTATTATGAAGCAGGGGCATTTAAACAGTGTTATGTTAGTATTATTTATAGTTTTTAGTAATATTTTGAATGAGCTTTTATTTTTATATTCAGTTTTCATTTTAATTGTAGTTTAATTTTAGAAGGCCCGTTTTATTATGGGTTTTGTCATTTTAATAGTTCTTTTTAAAAATATTTTACATCTTAAATTGTTTATATTTATTATGTATTTCAGTACTTCAACATAAACTTATTTCAGTTAGTTGACAAGGCAACATTTAGCAATGTTTATTTAGTTTAAGTTTTTCATCTAATACTATTTTACTTTATTTCAGCTTTATTGAACAATGAACAAAAAAAGTTTTAGCTAACGATAACAACACTGTCACATTCAATGGACGGAAAATATTCAGAAGCAGATACACTGGGGAAAATTATGCAGAGAATATTTACCAAATCTGGCCTGGTTAAGAAACGAACAAATATTGTTCAAATCATGTATTTTTATATTGTGTACTTAAGGAAATCAGGGTGGTACCAGAAGTGTCCAAAGAAAATGAGTCAAATATAGACGCGCCTCATTTAACTAAAGTAATCAGAACAGACACAGCCTGCCGTATTTTGCAGCATTTCAGTTTTTTCTAAGGATGAAATGAGTAATTATAGTCATTTAACATTGTATTTAAAAACCATCATCGTTAACGATATATCAGAATCAACTAGCATAAATTTCCAGGCTGGTTTATCATCATAGAGCATTCAAAGCTCAACATATGCTCTTCTCAGCAAGAATCTTCACTGTAAATACAAAAGCATGTACCCCTGAACATGGGAGGGTGAATGAGAAACATCTTCAGGCACAATGTGTGGGAGAGCAATGAATGGAATCAATGCCAAACAAGCTTGCCCAAACAAGCAGTCATGCACACATAGTTTTCAATGTTTAATGTTAAAACCTGTTTTCGGCATGCATTTTAGCCTTTTCCCCCCATCACGTTTTTTTTACTAATCACCATAAATTAGATATCATTTGAAAGCTTAAAGGGTTAGTTTTATTCGGACACATCTGGTACCACCCTGATTTCCTAGTTTTCCAAATTCATCATGTGAAAACCATTTTGAAATTGGACATTACGTTAACATGAAAAGGCTACTTTAAATCCTCAAATTTGGAACACAACTTGGTTAGACACAGGGCTTTTGTAAAACTGTATAAAACAAAAAATGTTTAGTTCAGTACATTTGCTACAGCAATTGGTTGGTAATCAAAGAGTAACGGTATAGCCATTGACTTCCATATAGGGAAAAAGTCATGGCTACCATCAATTGTCTAATTAATTACCAACATTCTTTAGAATATCTTCTTTTGTGTTCAACAGAAGAAAGAAACTCATGCAGCTTTGGAACAACATGAGGGTGAGTTAGTGATGACAAAAATTGCATTTAACTACTATCCCTTTAACTAAACTATCCCTTTAACTATGACTTTTGCCTCAATAAACTGCTTATTAATAGTTAGTTAGGATTTGGGTAAGATTTAAGGGATGTAGAATATGGTCATGCAGAATAAGGCATGAATATGTGCTTTATAAGTTCTAATAAACAGCCTAATAATATGCAACTTAATAGTGAGAATTGGTCCCCAAACTAAAGTACTTTCACTACGGATATAATCTGCTGAGTGTCTTTAAAAAGAGACTAACCTTTGTATTCATGAACTACAAACATTTATTTTCACATGCTCAAAAATGTGGGTGACAGTTAACAGGTTAAGTAGTAAAAGGCAAGGTTACTAATAACTTCACTGGAAAGATTGCAGATTTCACCACCAATGTCTTGACGCATTTGCAGAGGCAATGAACGTCACAGTCATGTCAGCTGCTGTAAAACTGACTTCTTCAGGCTGTAGTCTTAAGAGAATGAACATGTTCAAGCCACAGGTTTCCCAGACTTTCTAATGGACATTTAGAATTGCGGTTTTCGATTTATGAGTAAAATACTGTGGTTAACATTATTTAAAAAGACGTCACGTTCTGTTCTACAGCATAAATTATGCACAGTCAGACCTCAAAAGTGAATACTCAAACCGTTAAACCGCTCTTTAAAAGTGTTAGTTTCCATATAAGGGCTACAAATATACGATTTGAACTATTGTAGTACTTCCAGTATGTAGCAACTTTTTAGCGTTTGCAAAAATGTGGAGCACTGCGCAAGATGCTGTATCCCACAATGCATTGCACTTAACTTGACCTTCCATTTCCAAGATAATATAAGCCACGATTTTTTGACATCTTAGTTGCATCCCAAATGACGCACTGTACACGATGTACTTAACCGTGATGAAGTGTCCAACATTCCACACTTCGGCTACATTCAATATCACAAACTTCCCTACTATAGTAGGCTAAACAGTATGTGACAAACAAGTATGTTCAAATTCACAGTACTCATTAAAGAGTATGCAAAAAGTACCCGGATGTCCTACTTCTTCCAGTGTAATTCTGAATCATATGGACACTAGTGGATTAGTGAATGGCAGTGAAGCGACGCAACTGACACTGGTCACATGATAATGACAATATGGTGAATGTAGTACGTCCAGATTACATTGATACACACATTCACACTATATAAAAGAACATACTTTTTTAGCAGTTGTGAAGTAATTACTTATTCAAAATAAGTACCTACTCAAGATAGTATAGTATTTCAGACGAAGCCTTCGTGTTTTCGGTTAAATAAGTGCATCATCCGAGTATTTAAAGTGTACATTTTCTATTTGTCATGTTCAGTGTGAACACACTACTCGCACTATTTATACTACAAAACATCATAGTGCATAAGTAGCCTACACGAATTGGGACACTTTCTTAATTTCTTGATTATTTGAGCTAACAGGGAATGTTCTCTTTAGCTAACGTTCTGACAAGAGGAGTCGTGAGGAGTGCATGCTAAAACACACTCTTCTTGAAGGTGATGTCATAGAGTAGACAGTCCAGCCACACACAGAGCATTGACTCATAACACACACACATTGTCCCGTCAGGATGAGCTGAGCGGAGCAGAGTGTTGGAATCGTCCAGCATACGTGCAGCTTCACACGGGCAGGAATTCCCAGTCACCAGCAGCATGTGGAAAAAACGACAAAAAGGAACCAAGGGCAGCTATTAATATTATTGCTTGAGTTGAATCCATAAAAAAATGAGGTTGGAAAGATTTGGTAGGCTTTGGTTAAGTTAACATGGTTTGGTAATGAATAAAAAACGGCCAAAACTTTCACCAGAATGTAATTGCTATAGATGTTCTGAAAAAATGAGTGGTTATTGCAAATTTTGTTACCATACCATGACAATGTTTTAGCTTATGAAACCTTAATCAAACAAAGATTATTGGAGTACATTTTACAATTCTATTTCAGTTTTTACTTCAAAATTTCACTTTTAATGCAATGTGTATACTTGCCATTTCGGTAACACTTTAGAATACTGTTCCGTCATTAAGAACAAATGAGTAAAGCAATATTAACATAACTACTATTAAGAAACTGATCAACGAATTAGTAATAGCTTTGAAAGTGGTATTTAGCTAATTACTTACTAACTGCATGATCAAGAGAGACCACTTTTCACAGTACACAAAAGTCACACTTTAACCTCACAACAAGGCTAAACACTTGTGTTCAAATGGCGAAACCAACTTTCCCTACATGCAGAATCCCTCCTTCATGCGCAGACTCAAGACTCACCTTATCAAACAATACTTCGAAAATACTAAAGAAAAAAAAAAACCTGTTGACTTTATTTGTATTAACTTGTAGTTTTTTATGTCATGACTCCTTTATCCCTAGCAGGAATTGCATGCTTACAATTTGAATCACACTTCTTTGTAAAAGCACTGGAGTCTTGTAGTCTTTAAGCTTTAAGACAGCATGAAGTTCAAGTGCAAAATGAGAGCTTTTGACTGATGTTTGTAGCAGCCCAGACATGCAGACAGTATTGTGTGGAGATGATGTTGAAGAGCAAGAACCACCCTTAAACATTTACAGACTGTAAGTGGCTCGCGTTCACACACAAACAGACACAGACACACACACACACACACACACACACACACACACACGTTTTCATGTATCATGGGGATCATCCATCATTTCATGTATCATCCATAGACATACTGATTTTTACTCTGAACAAACTGTATGTTATATCCCCTACCCCTAAACCTACCCATCACAGAAAACTTTCTGCATTTTTACATAAAAACAGAACAAAACAAAACAAAAAAAAATATTTAGTTGGTTTATTAATGCATTTCCCTCGTGGGAATGTAGGTTATCTCAGGTTTTGCTATCCTTGTAAGGACATTTGGTCCCCACAATTATAATATTAACCTGCACACACGCACACACACACACACACACACACACACACACACACACACACACACACACACACTTATCCAAGCAAGCTCAGACTAAGATCATTACTGCAAAAACAAACAAGGTCAGTGAACCTTTACAAAATCCCTCGCCTAGGGACATGCTCCACGTCTGAGGTTCTTGTGCAAGACATTTCACTTTTTTATATAACCAAATGACAATGTGTAACATCGGTAAGGACACCTACATAGCAACAAGGTAAATTAATGGCAAAATAACAATTTACAGTTAAGCATATCGATTAAGTAGATTAACTAATGAGTTCACAGTTATCATAGTGTGTGTTGACTATAAATTAAGTAACTTAGGCTACATATTTCACTTACACCAGGCAGTAAGTTAATCGGTTTATCATCCGCTCATTTCAACAATCGGTTCATTATCAAATGAGGCTTTTCCCGTCCAGGTACAATCAACTTTGATAAGAGTTTATTGCCTCGATTACAGTCTACAGTATATAAAAACCGCATATAAAAATTATTGCAATACAAATTGATTTTAACTAGCCTACTGTATGAACACGTTTTATTGAAAAACGCGCTGTTCACAGAAGCTAATTCCTATGCTATTACTTTTGAGTTAGTTTAGTGTACCCTATCTTGCTTCAATGTAACAAAATGTAATTTATTGTCTCACTCTACCTTGAGTTTCTTATCCTGTGTTTTTGCGATGTGATATATGTACTATCCCCATTAACCATCCCCTGTGATTTTTGTTCAATAAAAAAAAAAAACTTCTTGTGAGTTGAGCAGAGGGGGCGGGGCTTAGCGAAGAGTCAATTTCTCTCTCTGCCGCCATCTAATGATTTATTTTGACACTACAGAGAACAGACAGGCAGTCAATATTGAAACAGACAGATGGTTTAAAAGAGGGATAACAACAACAAACAAATAAAATAAATATTGTTTTAAAAAAGGCAAAAAAATATATTTCGTTATGTTGTTTATCTATGTGACCGGCTAAGGATTTTGAATTATATTTACCTAAAACCGAGAAAGAAAGAAAAAAGAAAAATTTACATAATTTACTCACCCTCAAGTTGTTTCAACCCTGCATGAATTCCCTTTTTCTTATGAACACAAAATCATATTTGAAGAATGTTTAACCAAACCGTTGTGGGGAATTTGACTTCCATATGGCAACAAAATACTATGGATGTCAAACATCTTGATGGTGAGTAAATGATGACAGCATTTTCGTTTTTGGTGCCTCAAAAACAATAAAAGTCAGTTTATTTTTTTGTTTGTTTCAGTTTTACTTTTAAATATTTTAGTAGGCTGCATCAAGTTAAACTAAATGAAAAGTATACATTTTGGCAACTAGCTGAAATAAAATAAGCAAAGTTTTTTAAATGTTACTGATGTTACTTTATTTCAGCAGTGTGTTCTTGAATGAATCGATTTTTTTTTAACTAAACGCTTGTCGCCACCTAAAGGGTCAGTGAAAAGTACAGCACCACTCTCCATCAAAAAAAAAAAAAAAATCATCGAGGATATTAATTTTCTTTTGAATACTCAGGAATATTTGAACCCTGAATGCCGCTGAGAGCCCTGGAAAAAAATCGCTGGACTTTTATAACTTTTATTTTGAAATGTTGTGTGAACTTTAAAATTTAGGGACGCAGAGCGGAAATGGAACCCTTGTGAGGTTGTTGTTTTCGTTTCGGTGGAGGTATTCTACACAAGTTTAAATATCACAACATCGGGAGGTTGAAGAGGTTCGTCGTCTTTATATCATGGAATCGTCCATCAAAGGTAGCTGCTAAATATTTTCAAATAAATATTTTGTTTTGCACTTTTCTCTTTGCGTGTCATGTTGTATGTATGTTCATTGAATGTATGTTTTTAAATAAATAAACACAAACGCGAATCAGTACTGAAGTCCAAGTTCGTGTTCAGCCCCGTTCTTGTGAGTTTTGTCGGTGTGTTTTATTTAATGTATATGGATTATTAGCTGTTTAACGTGTTTAACGTAGGTAATATATTTTTTACATATGTTTTCTATAGGAAGGGCCAAACGCAGGCACCTGGGGCCCTCAGAATGTGATGAACTGGTGCAAAGCAACGCAGGGAACCAGTCTCTCACTCAGCCATTTAATGTCAAGCTTAGCAACAGTGATCCAAACCGAAGACTTCAGCCCAGGACACCCACCAAAAGAAGCAGACAAGGTGTTGTTAAATTTGTAATTGCCTTTTGCATCTTTCTGCAAAAAACAATGCTAAATTCCCACTTTAACATCTTTAATTTTGCTTTAAAGCTTCAGGTGGTGTGGACCAACAGAGGGGCATCACAGAATTCTTCTCTGTCACTGGAGTCATAAGCACCAGCCCCCAAAAAGGAACCCAGACTCCAGTGAAGGAGGAAGAAGAGGAACCCATCGGACCTCTCATCCCAGAAGAGGATAAGATGGAGGACTTTATGGAAGGAATCACTGAGGACATGTTCGACGAGGACTTTGAGGTTGGAACCACATTAGTCAAAAAAGAAGAATTGGTGGAAAAAGAAGAGCATGAGGAGGACCTGGTTGAAGCCCTTCCTGATGCCCACTACGGGCTGCTGGGAGTGCAGGGAGGACAGGAGGTTCCCCAGGGTCACGTTCAGGACCTGCCCGAGGAGATCCTGAGGGAAATGTTCTCTTACCTCCCAGCAGATGATCTCTATCGACACATCAGCCTGGTGTGCCATCGCTGGAGGGCCGTCGTCATTGACCCCCAGGTGTGTTGTTGTCGATGCCTTTCAAACTTCACAGTGAAATAAGTTAGTTTATGCTAATTGCTAATATGCTAACAATTTAGTTTTAGTACACTAGTATAAATTGTGTAGGTATTACTCTAACATAGGTCTATATTTTTAAAGATGTTAAAATAATACATATACATATAAATAATGTGTTTTTTTGATTTAGTTTTTTTTTTGTATATTGTGACCACTGAAGTATATCAATGTCATTGTTGTCACAGTGTCAACATTGATATAGTTGTCATCAATGTCATCTATATCAATGTCACAGTGATTGTGACATGTCATGGTTTCTTCCTTAGTTTCTACCTTGGAAGAAGTTGTACTGCAGATACCGTAAACGGGAAAAAGAGGCGCTGAAGGAAGTCAAATCTATCCTGCATGATAATAACATTATCAAAAAGGAAGACCTCTGTCTTCTTAATATGGTGAGGTAAGAATACACACTGTCTTTAAAGCACAACAAAAGAGGGTTCACAACCCCCACTTTCACACCCTTGGGTCATTTTCACACATCTGAGCTGCTGATAGAGATCAAACCTGTTAGGTGTGACGTTTGTAGATCGGGGGTCAACTGTAGTTTAATGATCTGCTGGCTGATCAGTTTAGTCAGCTAAGCATCACTAGAAAGATTGTGCTTATAGTGCCAAAATAGACAAATACAGAAAATAAATGAAAAAGGTGAAAATGTATAGAGGCAACATAAAAACTAAAAGAATAATAAAGAAAAATACAATAAGGAGGAATTCACATGCTAGATATGGTATATACAAAATCGAATCATTTGTTAGAGTAATAATTTGCCAATTTAAGTCAAATGTATATTGTGTTGTGAAATTCTCACAGCACATGCATGATTTTCCAGGTACATGTCGCAGTTCAAACACAGCAAACGGGTGAATGTGAAGGACGTGTTTGAATGTGTGAAAGGACATCGGCTCTACGCTCACGCTGAAGGCTGCATCAAAGACAGACTGCCAGACATGGCGGATGATGAGGTAATGTAAACCCACAGTTAACGTTTACTGAAACTACTAGTTTAGTAGTGCCTTTGTTTTTGTTTTTTGCAACAATGTGCATTAACTGCATTATAATGTGCATCAGGTTCCACTTTTTTGCCATTTTTAACCAATTATTTTTGTTTCGACTTGTATTACAGGGTACAAACCCTTGGTCTACCATGGCCCTGATGTTGATTTTGGCTGACGGAGTGAAGGATGTCTTGGATCTGGTAGCTCTCTTGCGGAAGTCTGGGTGTCTGCTGACAGCAGGAGGAATCTCGGAGTACCTGTGGGCCATGGCCACTTTGCTCCTGGCCATGAGAGATAATAATATTAACATAAGCAACAGGTGAGAGACAAGGTCCATGTAACAGGAGTTGAGAAGTTGTTTATTTATGGCAGCTGAGGAGTTAAAAGAGGGAGTTTTCTGGTCATTTGACTAGCCAATGAAAACTATTTAACACTTAAACGAGACGGTTTTCTTTATTTTGTGGGGTAATCTAAATTAATCTTCACTTTTTGTACCTCCATCTTTAGGTGGCATTACAACATCTTCTACGTACTGCACTTAATGGAGAACGCACCGCCTCCTCCAAGCTTGCATGACAAGAGGTGGGCAGGATATAGTATTTGCATTTTAATTACACAAAACTTTGGGGTCAGTATGATTTATTTTTTAAAGAATTTATTTGTATTAAAAAATGACAGTTATTGTTTATAATGTTACAAAAGATTTCTATTTCAAATAAATGTTCTTTTGAACTTTCTTATCATCAAAGAATACAGAAAAAATGTATCATGATTTCCACAAAAAATATTTAGCAGCACTATTTTCAACATTAATAATAAGAAATGTTTCTAGAGCAGCAAATCAGCATATTATAATGATTTCTGAAGGATCATGTGACACTGAAGACTGTAATGATGCTAAAAATTCAGCTTTGATATCACAGGAATGGAGTACATTTTCAAATATATTGAAATAGAAAATAGTTATTTTAAATTGTAATAATATTTTATTGTATTTTTACTGTATTTTCTAATAAATGCAGCCTTGGTGAGCATAAGAGACTGGAATTGTACAAATCCCATACTATTGAACAGCGCATATATTTATTACAATCAATATATGATATTATTGTAATGATAATCGTCATTTTTGCAGACAGCACACCACTCACGAGCAACAGCAGATTCTCAACCATGACATCCAGAATCATCATGTTGTTAAAATAATGGCTTTTGCAGGTGAGGAAAAATCATTTATATTATTTCGCAGCTGAAAATGTTCAATTAAAATAAAGTGTGTAGTATTCTGTTCATATAATCCCATTCTTATTTGGCGCAGGCACTGGAAAGACGACCACACTCGTGAAGTACGCTCAGCAAAGACCACAGATGCGCTTCCTCTACCTGGCCTTCAACAAATCCGTGGCGATGCAAGCTCAGCGTTTGTTTCCGCACAACGTCGAATGTAGTACCATCCATTCAATGGCCTTCAGAGCTGTGGGACTGAGGTCAGTTTGTACTGTCCAGTCAGCAGAGAAACATTAACCAAACAATCTGCTAGTTTGAAGAATGAATAAGAATCATTGAGCTTTTATAATAACCAGAATCTTTTGTGTAACCTTTCTGCTATGCAGGTATAAAAATATGCGGAAACTGTCCAATAATTTGCAGCCGTTTGATGTGGCGTGGGTCTTGCCTAAAGGACAAGGGGGATTCGTCAAAGCTAAAGTGGTGACGCAAACCCTCAACAACTACTGGGCGTCCATAGACCAGCGGGTTGGTCCTCAACACGTTCCGCCAGAGTACAAGAACACACACGGCAAGACTGAATACCCAGACGATCAACAAAGAATGGTAAAGTGAAGAGACAGTTCTGTCAGTTTACAGCTTGTGCTTTTGGGAATGTTTTAAGGGTAACTAAATGATAGTCAATTTAAAATAAAAATAAAAATAGTCTAAAACGAATATCATGTTGAATTAATTGGGTCTCTGCACTCATTTTGTCAGTAGCAATTTTTGTGACAAAGAAAATGCATTAAAAAGTATTTCTCTCCAGAATTTTGCAGGTATCGCACAGAATTTATGGGACCAAATGGTAGAGCTGACCAAAAAAGAGAGAGTGTACAACATGACCCATGATGGTAAGCACCAAAATTTATACTCCAAATAATATAATTTCCTATCACACTCAATCACAATACCAAACAAACCCAAAATTGTTTTTTTCTTTTTTTTTTCTTGCTTGATTTTTGGTTTTTCTTGAATTGGTATAATTACCTCCCAAAACTGTCCCGCATGATTGCGTTCCCAAAACACCAGGAATCCACCTCTGAATGCAAGTTAAAATTTCCCAAGTCATGATTTTGTTCTCTTGAACACATGGGATGGAAAAGATGCTGCAAATGTTTTATGCGATATTCCAGGTTTGCGCATAAATTGAGTCGCAACTTTGGATTAAAAACACATTTTATGTTAATAATTTCTTTTGATTGCTGCAAATAGGATACCTCAAACTCTGGCAGCTGACGAGACCAGAGCTGGACCGGTATGATGCCATATTTATTGATGAAGCTCAAGACTGCACACCAGGTTAAAAAATTTACCTATCATTGTCAAATTCATCCAGCTTTAGGTTATTTAAGATTGCATTAAAATGTAGTTTTATTTTATTTATTATTTATTTTCACCTGTATGCTTTTGTAGAGCTGAATTTCATAATTCTGTCCTGTTGGTGGTCTTGTTTTTTTTTCCAGTCATCGTGGACATTATGCTCTCTCAGAGCTGTGGGAAAATCCTGGTTGGAGATCCTCATCAACAGATTTACACTTTCAGAGGAGCGGTCAATGCTTTGCATGCTGTTCCTCACACACACATCTACTATCTCACCCAGGTAGAAAAAACACTCACAAGGAAATTCCAGAGGCTACTTATAGATTGTTTGTTTCACAAATATCTGTCAAGTGTTTATGGGTAAATATGTTCAATTATTACCACCCATTTTTTTTCATAGAGCTTCAGGTTTGGTTCTGAGATTGCCTACGTTGGTGCTACAATATTGGACTGTTGTAAAAAAGTGAAGCAGATATTGGTTGGTGGGAATCAGGATGGTAAGTTTAAGAAATTATATTTGGGTAATTCTAATAAAGAGATAAAATCCTTTTTGTAGATTTTGGAATGAAGTATGAAGCAGGCAGAATAATAAAAATAATTTGTGCACATTTTCAGGGAGTGTAAGAGGAGAGGACACACAAACACTGCAATGTCTGAACATGGGACAGAGGCTGCCAGAAGGGAGCGTGGCCATTCTGAGCCGCTGTAATGTCACTGTTTTTAGTGAGGCTGTCCGACTCACAGACGTCAACCCCAGCTGCAAGATCTACATTGTGGGAGTGAGTGCATTATCCTTTTTTTTTTTACATTTTTCAACTTGCTTTTGAAAAGTCACTCAATTCATTATATCAGTGCGCACTGTTTCTGAACTCTCTGAAACACCTCGACTGTAGTGTTGAGTTTTCTTCCAGGAACCAACACATCACAATGTTCCTCATTTAAATAATTCCCGCCCACAGCATACAAAAAAGGGACTAGGCCTGGTTGAGTTGTGTTAGTAGTGTGATGAAACTTGCGGTTATTGTAAGGGGCGTGTCATTTCCGAAACGCTCTCTAAGCGGTTGACCGGCCGACCAATCAGAGCACATTGCCTTATTCAGAAGGAGGGGCTATACAGAGACAGGAACTAAATAGAGCGTTACTGACAGACTGGGAAGAGAGGTGCTGTAAAATATGTGGGAAAATAATGTGTTCTTTTGAACATTTAAGTAGGAAAACCTATTCTAGTAGACCCCAAAAACAAAATCAAGACTTTGTAAAAGGGCATAATAATGGCCTCTTTAAAATTTGTCCTAATTAGTAATGAATGATACGACAATGCCAATGCTTATCGTAATGTGTGTTTCAAACCTCACATATATTCTGATCAGCTTTTTTTGCGGATCATTTTTCAGAAAAAGTTACTTGATGTTCAAAACATCTTTTTTTAAAATGTCAACCTCTGATTTCAGGGTGTTGAAAACTTTGGACTGGAAAAAATTATGGATCTCTGGGTCCTGATGCAACCAGAGGACAAACGCAAGAAGGGTAAGTCACTTTAGCTTTGAAAGTTTTAGAGTTCTTAGTCTCGTTGTTAAACAAAATATCATAATTGCAATGCTCATGATGGTGTCTGTGTTGCAGTATTTTAGTTTTGCTGTATGTTTATTGTCTGTAAAGCTAGTAAGTTATTTAAAATCTTGTTGGATCTTTAAAACTGATGGTTGTTAAATTGTTTTTCTAAAGTTTGGTTTGTTTCTCTACCTCAGAGAGCCTTGTGATCAAGGATTTCTTCATCCGAGGTTTCTGCAGAGATAAGATGGGTGGATTCATGGGTCTGAAGGGATACGCCATGGCCTCAGAAGACCGCGAGCTGGAGGGCAAGCTAGCCATGGTGGAGAAATTCAACAAACGCATTCCAGAGCTGGTCAAACGGATTTATGATCGTGCCCAGAAAAGCCTGCTTGGCGCAGGTGAGTCGGACAGAAATAGAGGGAGAGAGAAAAGACTAAAGCACTGGTTTTGAGGAATACACGCAGTAAAATCACTGTACGCATACAACCTTTATATGCAAGTTGAATGCCTTTATCTCTGTGATTGTGACAGATTTTATCCTTGGTACGGTGCATAAGTCAAAAGGCCTGGAGTTTGACACAGTGGTTGTGACAGATGACTTCATGAAAGTACCATGCACTCGACACAACCTGCAGAGAGTGGGCGGTTTCAACGCAGGTTTGTGGTACTTTATTGAAAAATCCTAAAAAAATTAACAGTTCCTTTTATCATTTGTACCTTAAGAGCTAATATATCATGGTTAGACAACAAAAGCATGTGTGTATGTTATTAATTTGTGTCAAGAAATATTCTAGTGATCATCTTGGATTCATTTTTTAATGTTACTTTCCCACATGGTGCTTAAAATGGTGGCACATGTTGCGCCCCATATCTACAATCAATAAATGATTAATGAATGTGTCTGCATATAACAAAATAAAGCCCAACACTTACAGTTATTGCAGTCTCTGTATCCGAGCCTCAAAGTCTGCCTGGGCTTTAGCTAAGTGACATCTGGTGGATCAAAGTGTACATTTGTGGTGATCTGAAATCTGTGGGCACCTCCTGTAGGGTCCATCAATTTTAGCCAGTCAATAAGGTATTCTTTTAAAAAATAGGCATTCAAAATAAAATAGGAATTTAGTATTTTTATCACATATTTTACTGCAGTGGGTAGAAAGAATCTTATCCCTTAAAGGGATAGTTCACCCTAAATTAAATGAAGTCATAATTTACTCACCCTAGTGTTGCTCTTATGGCACATGCCATATTTTTATAGACCACAAAAAGAGAAGTTTTAAAAGATGTTCTTCTCACACTCATCCATATGATGAGTCAATAGCGACCAGCATAAAGCTCTTTAAAAAAGACACAAATGTATCACAGAATGATCCCATGCGACACGCGCCATATATTTCAAGTGTTCTGGGGGTATACGATATAGGGTTTGGTGAAAAACAATCTTAAATTTATTGTATCATTTACTGAAAATCCTGATGTTGGTCTTCTGTGCACGGCTGTGCGACTTAGAGATCATGTACAGTCTCTTAGTTGCAAAAATATTTGCCTAATGTTTCAATTGACCAATCAAAACTGAGTGTTCCAGAGATTTCTGAAAATCCAGATATGCATAAGGCTAAATCTTTACCCTCTGGCTGCAGCAAACGTCCTAGATGACGAGTGGAACCTGTTATATGTGGCGATCACACGAGCCAAGAGAACGCTGTACATCACCAAGACCATCAGCAACATCCTCACATTCCCTGGGGTGAGTTACTGCTGCTTCATCTTCAATCTGATCTTTATAATCTGAAGAATATCCAGATATCATGACATTGAAGCATTTGTATTATTACACTTCACAGGAGTACTTCCTGAGGTCAGAGCTGACCAGCACTCTGCTGAGTAAAGACCCGTCTCTCGTCTGCTCCACCGAGGACTGTCAGAACCACATCATCGCAGACTCCATCCTCAGCATGTGCAAACTCCCTGTCAGATATGTTAGTGTCTCTTTCCTCAACCATTCATCTAAGTTAAATTCAAAAACTCACTTCTTGTATTGATTCATTCAATGTATGTGTTACAGATGGACAGCTCTGACATGGGTGGCGTTCTGTGTTTGACCTGTGTGGAGCAGCGTGTGGGACCTACAGCATTCCTGCTCTCTCCTCCTGAACGGGTCAGATCCATGACCTATACCAATGAAAGAATCGAGCTGCCCATCAATGTCAACATGCTCTTATCTTTACTTTAAACGCCATCGTGTGTTCGGATCATTTAAGTGGCCCTTTGACTTTGTGTCTTTTGTAGTGCTTTTGTAAAGTTCATGTTTGTGGATTATTCTAGTCTGCTGTGCATTTATTTTTATATTTTTACAATTTTTAGTTATATTTATTTTAGTGTTTAGTAACCATTTTGATACTTTAAAAAAAAAAAAGATTTAAGTTTTTCATCTGCAAAATGTTTTTGCCCCTCTCCTTTCATCATTCTACTGGTTCTCCCACATTGCGACTTGCCCTTTTTGGAACAGTAAACATTGACGTCACTGTTTTTAGGTGGAGAATAAGCAGTGGCTTTTTCTGGCAGCTTTAGAAGGACCTCTTCAAGCCCTTGATACCTATAGTATTACAGCTGTTGTAAATGACACAATAGTTGATGAGCAACACTAATCTTTAAGATTGTATTTACTGTATGTCCATGTTTGTAAAATCAGTGATGTGTGGAAAGAAAAATAACCATTCCTACACAGAGTATCACATAAAGACGGATGGTATAATAGACTACCTTAAGGTTTGCACTTTTATTCTTTCTTTTTTGTGTGTTATATATTCATTGTCTATTCTTGTTCTCCCCCGCCCCCCCCCTTTTTTTGAAAAACTATTTGAACAAGCGTGATCATAATTTGTCATCTTTATTTTTGACCATTTGTGGAAAAAAAATGTATGTTGAATTATTTTCTAAAACATAATTTTTGTTTTATAAGACTTTTTTTATTCAGAGTGACTTATTTGAGAATGTATAAGCATATGTATATGTATGTTGCAATTCTAAAACATTTTTTGTTTCAGAAGACATTTTTTATTCAAAGTGATTTGTTTGAGAATGTACAATCACATGTATATGTATGTTGCATTACAGACTAACTAAATCTTGGGCAGATCTGGTGCTCAACAAACAACATCTCAACAAATTGCAGTGTGTTTTTCTTCTAGCTTAATTATTACTTGTGAAATGGATTGGACAAAACAAAACTCTTTATTTATTTTTTGTGTGTACAACTATATTTGTGTGTTGAGGACAACCATCTTTATGAGGACCGGTTTAAGTTTTAGACAAGTGAAGTGAGGACAAAGAGAGTAAATGAGGACATTTTGCCCAGTCCTCACTTTCTGAGTCCCCTTTTAAAGGCCTGTTTGAGGGTCAAGGTTATAATTAGGTTTAGGGTAAGGGTTCAGGTTGGGCACTTAGTTGTGACGGGTAAGGTTAGGGTAAAAAGCTAGAGATAGCATTGTGGCAATTAATTTCCTCGCAAAGAGAGTACAAGAGTGTGTGTATGTACAATTTAAGTGCAACACTAAGATTTTTTTTAAATTAAATTAGAGGATCATTAGTTGTATACATAATTGATATACAGTATCATGATCAATCACATATAATAAGTGGTAAAATAATAGAATAGTAATATTTGGATGTGCCACACCCACTTTTTCAGAAATGCTCGGGACGTCCCCTGTAAGACACAGTCAAGTGGGTCGCACACCGGACGAGAAGCGCAGCGCCGCGTCGCGCCACGTCTAGGACAACTCCAGGTATCGCACACCGGACGCGCACATTCTAATCGCGCGAGCACAATTTTGAATCAACTCCTGTTAGAAGAGCTGCACGATGTGTGTTTTATCTTGATTTATTATTATTTTTTTTATGTTCATTGAATAATAGCTGATGTTTGAACGTTAATCAAGTAAAAGTGTCTATCACGTTGAGTCTGTTATTTTGTTGTAACGTTATCCGTTGTCTAGGCAACTATGTCACATAATACAATAGTATTTATTTAGCTAGCGTTTAGCTAACCCGAGTGAAAACAGCACAGGGTGAAGCCATGTACATTAACGACGATTTGAGACAAATAAATGCAAATTTAATATAAAACTATGCAAATGGCGCTCTGTGGCGCGGCAGGGTTTTGAACAAGGTCCTGAGCCGTAGCTGGGCGCCGCGGACAGACGCCCAATGGCGCCGCCGGTGTGTGTACACTCATAGAGAATAATGTGTTCGAATTTTAAAGACCTGGCGCTGCGCGACGCGGCGCTGCGCTTCTCGTCCGGTGTGCGACCCCCTTCAGACAACACAGTGACGTGTGTGGATTTTAGAGATATTAGGAAGAAACCTGAACAAAAATGCATTGCTGGGTCTCGTGAGGATAAATAGGTGAAAAAGCAGCACGGAGTTTAGCTGGACGGCTCGTGCGTTGGCCACGCCCACTCGCCGTGCAGATTAATGAACAAGCGCGACTTCTGAAAACTGGTAAGTGACCAATATAATTACCGGTATTACGGTACTATTCAACTTAAATCGATTACAAGCGTTCCCCCTGGCTTTATATAAGCTTTACTTATACAGACGCGCATCTTTTTTATGATAGCTATCTCAGTGATATTTGATTGAGTGTCAGTTTATTTTACGGTGCTCAGACATGGAGAAACTTCACCATCTGTTTTTCTATAACGTTAATGTTTTTTTTTTTTGTTGATAATGTTACCTGTGCATCAGTAGCCTATACATTAACTAATGATTTAATAATGTGTGTTATTGTTATTCATGTCAATTTTGTTGCCTATAATAATATATAAGTTAACGAACTGTCCGAGGTAACGTTACGGTGACATCATTTGTTGACATTCGAGGTCGATGTTCTTACATTTTAGATGCTTTCTGCTTTTAAAATCTAAAAAGCCACACAAAGTGACCAAAATAATTACAATAAATTGTATTTCGTCTAGAGAAAGAAGACAAGAAGTTGTGTATGTAAGTGGCATGTGAGAGCTTTTTAAATATAGTTACATTCCTAAATAAATCATCAGAATAACAGCACAAGGCGTGCTTAGCATGTAGTGTTTTGTACACTTGGTTTCTAGTTCATTTCAGCAAAGCTAGAGAGTTTTCTGAGTTTGAAGGCCCTAAAAAAATGTGATCTTTAATGTAAAGCGAAAGAAATGAAATAGATAACTCTTGAGTTCAAGGCTTAGTGAAGAATGTCACCAGGAAGGAAAGGCCAGGAGACTCCCGATAAACAGTCCCACATGTGTGCAAGAGCCTCAAGAGACCCAAAAATCCACTTAGAAATGTGTCGTATACAAAAGTTTAACAAACAAAAAAAAACATCTCCAAGTGTCGAACAGTTTTTTAATATCTTCTTTCTATCCGTTCACAGATGCTGATGGTGAAAATGGCTTTGTTGAGGAAAAGTAAGTAACAAATGCATGTTTTGCAGATTGCGTTTCCATGAACCAGCCTATGCAGTTGTTTATTTCATCACTGTTTCATAATACATGGAAAAACACCAAGGCCGGCGGTGATTATGTCCAGTGTATGAGTCACACTCCGAATCAGACTCTTGATACAAAACTAAGAAATTTGATGGTTCTCAAACCTCATGGATAACTGAGAGCACACGGTGAAGTTTTAGTGCCTGGTTTTGTGCTGCTGTCCTGCCAAACTGGAATGTGTCTAGTGTGTGTGTGTGGTGGAGGAGGGGTCAGTCCCAATGGTCGTCCCAGAGTAAATGAGGTAACCAGGTAGATTCGGACCCATAAAAGTGAGGTATAGTAGGGTCTCTGAAAGTCCCACTCAGAACACATTTACGGAACCCAGAGTTAACTTTTAAGTGTGCATTGTATTTGCAGGCCTTTATATTGTAGTTTTGAGTCATTATTTGAATCATAAATGCAATCTTCTCCCTAACATTATTAATAATGCTGTAATGAATGAAACTTGAAGAACTGTTTTGTTTTAATCAGATTTGTTCAGTTTAAGTTATCTTTTCCTGTTCTTTTAAGGCCTTGAAAGGAGGTAGTAAAGAAAAGTTTTGCACTAACCTCCCCCAAAGACAGTTCAGACACCTTTTTGTCTGACTGGCAGTGTTATTTTAATATAATTTATATACTATTATAGTATTTATTAATATTTTGAATTAGCTTTTATTATTACATTTTCAATTTCATTTTAGTTTAAATTTTAGAAACTTTGGTAAGTTGTTTTTGGTCAATTTGCTCTTTTATATAGATTTAATTTATATTAATGGTATTTCAACTTAAACCCATTTCATTTAGATGCCAAGGCGAGATTTGTTTTTCATTTCTAAAAGTTTTTCGTCTAATATTAACATTTGATTTCAGATGAATTTCAATTACAAAAACAATGTTTGATAGTTTTAGTTAACAATAACAACACTGCTGACTAGTATAAATGGTAATTAACTAGTAACTATTCTAACTATTCATTAGATGCTAATGCTTTTTTTAATTGGTAACTAGTGATTAGAACAGTTTTAAATGAGCGATCATGGATGAGGTAAAAATGTACTTTCACCTCATCCCAAAGTTTTACAATGACCTCTAGTGGTCATTCTTTTATTTATAACTTGCAGTGTTTTAAAAAAGATATCTCTCTCTCTCTCTCTCTCTCTCTCTGACTCTCTCTCTCTCTCTCTCTCTCTCTCTCTCTCTCTCTCTCTCTCTCTCTCTCTCTCTCTCTCTCTCTCTCTCTCTCTCTCTCTCTCTCTCTCTCTCTCTGACTCTCTCTCTCTCTCTCTCTCTCTCTCTCTCTCTCTCTCTCTCTCTCTCTCTCTCTCTCTCTCTCTCCTCTCTCGCTCCCTCTCTCTCTCTCCGTGTGTGTGTGTGTGTGTGCCAGTCAATCGTGGGCTCCTTATTCTGCTTGTCCTGGTGACTTTTGCTCACCTGTACAACAAGACCAGACTACAGACGCTGCCCAAGTATTCAGGTACACATGCAGGGCACAGATATGAAAGTATACTCGTGTTCTTGGTTTGTTATATATTGATCTTATTGTGGTTTATACAGTGCTCAGGATAGATGAGGCCAAAATGGGTATGGAGGATGAGAAAGAGATGGACACTGACATCCCTGTGGTGATCTGTGCTTCAGAGGAGCGTATTGGTGCTTCCATGGCCACCATCAACAGTGTCTACAGCAACAGTCGTGCTAGTGTTTTCTTCTACATAGTTACCCTACGAGATGCCATCAAAAAGATAAGGTGCTAGGTCTAACCTTTGACCTCTCACTGTGTTTCTCAACTGGTTTTGCTTCAGAAAATAGATTTTAAGTGGTGACCCAACACATATTTTATTGTACATAAGGAGTTTATTGTACAAAATGTCTACAAAACATTTCTTAAAATCAAACAAACTTTTTGTGTCAAAATACCGGAGTGTTTAATCGGAGTGATTTGCTCGCACCTGAGAAGCCCCGTGGTGAGGAGCAGAGAGTTCGCTCAGGGTGTTGCGCTAATCACTCCGCCCAAGTAGCAGTGCTTCGCCTTCTGAGAATATAGTTCCCAGTATGTATACGGTTAAAAGATGGCTGTGTCTCATATGACCTTGTTATTTGTACATGTAGTCCCAAAAAGTTGGCGTGTTCCTTTAACAATTATGTACATAATACTGTGTGAATCAGACCTATTAATCCACTCTTTACATGTCTCAAAAAGAAATGAGTAAATATGCAACCAATAAATATCCTCCCAAATGCCTTAATCAGTATTTTCTCTGGACTCAAAAACAGGGAATACATAGAGAAGACCAAGCTAAGAAAAATCAGATACAAGATCCTGGAGTTCAATCCGATGGTTTTGAAGGGGAAAGTCAATCCGGACTCGTCCAGACCAGAACTCCTGCACCCTGTGAGTTCTGCTGGGTTCTGTGTATTTTTTCATGTACAGTTGATGCTTTAGGTAAACTCTTCATTATTTCTAACAGGTGTGATCACTTGGTACACTACATGACCAAATGTCAACACCCCCTTCTCTTCAGCTACACCCTAAACTAACAGGTGCATTAAATAAAGCTTACAGTCATGTCTTTTTCTTTGACAAACATTGACTGCGGGTGGTGCTGACAGACTTTTGGCCAGGTCGTGTATGTGATCTTGTAGGTCCATCATAAACTTTTGCTTTGATTGTTTAAGGTTTTATAATTGTTTGAAAATATTTTTTTCTCGATCCTGGTTTCTTTGGCGTTGCAGCTAAACTTTGTGAGGTTCTACTTGCCACTTCTTGCCATTGAAAATCACAAGCGGATTGTTTACCTAGACGATGATGTCATAGTACAAGGTGAAATCCATCTGAAATTGATACTAACCTTACACTTGTACTCGCATCGATCATGGGAGGATGATCTCATATGTTCACTGCAATAATTAGTTATTTTTATTATATCTGGCTTACAGGAGACATACAGGAACTGTATGACATAAAGCTGAAACCGGGGCACGCTGCTGCGTTCGCCTCAGACTGTGATCTGCCCGCCACACACGAGATGGTGCGCAGTGTGGGGATGCAGGTGGGCATTTTTGGATGTATGTGTTAGTATTTTAGATATGGTTTTAAAGAGACCATATTATGCCCTTTTACAAAATCTTGACATTGTTTTTGGTGTCTACCAGAATCGGTTTTCATGTTCAGAAACAGTGCGCATTGATATAGAGAAGAACTCCCTTTGGAGTGACTTTGTCCTTCTTAACTTTGCAACTCTGTTTTTCATGCTCAAACAGCAACATTTCAGACTAAAGGAAGTTGAAAATGTAAAAGAAATTGGTCCTCTTTAAGTTAATCGCTATAGTTACAAGGGTTGATTTGTCTCTTTCATTTCATGAATAAACTCCCTCTCACAGACAACCTATATGGGCTTTCTGGACTACCGCAAAGAGGAAGTCAGAGAGTTGGGCATCAACCCTAGCGACTGCTCCTTTAATCCTGGTGTTTTTGTGGCAGACGTCGGTGAATGGAAAAAGCAAAAGATAACTAAACAGCTTGAGAAATGGATGGCTAAGAATGTCAGGTGATATGAGTTGTGATGAATGATTTTTAAGAGATCAAATTAGTTCAGTAAAAACAAATGTTTTTTCCCCCCATTCAATTTAGGGAGAACCTGTACAGCAGTGCTGTGGCAGGGGGTGTAGCCACCCCTCCAATGCTGATCGTCTTTCATGATAAATACACAACCATTGATCCACTGTGGCATGTCAGACACCTGGGTAACTGACTTTTTTCTGCCACATCTCACTGAATGACTTATTTTAGATCTCTTCACTCTTTCTACAATCAATTTATGCATTTCAATTTGGAAAACAATCACTCCCTATTAGTTATCCATAATGCTGCAATTCAAATGAAACCATACATGTTGATTAAATCTGAAAAGTACTTCACTTTTTATATATATGCACGGTAGTAATTTAAGTGCGCACACAATTTACCAGGCAGTTATTATATATATTATAAAAATACACTACCATTCACAGTTAATTTCTTTCCAAAAAAATAAGGAACATTCAGCAAGGACACATCAAATTGATCAAAAGTTGCAGTGGAGACATTTGTGATGTTACAAAAGATCCCAATTTCAAAGAAATGCTGTTATTTTGAACTGTTTATCAAAGAATCCTCACAAAACTGTTGAGAATAAATGTTTCTTGAGCAGCAAATCAGCATATTAGTATGATTTCTGGAGGATCACATGACACTGAAGGCTTGAGTAATGATGCTGAAAATGTTCAGCTTTGCCAGCAGTAAATTACATTTTAAAACTTATTCAAAAAAAAAAAATTTTAACGGTAGTGGACAGAAGGAAATGCTGAATTTGTCGACAAAAATAAACCCACTATCTTATTAGCATAATACATTTTATACTTAATACATCCTATAAAACCAAACGTCTCAGGCTGTCTGAGTCCTAACAGTTAAACTAAAATTTTCTGACTAAATGTTTCTGAAATTAAACAAACTTCAACTGATTTTATTTCAGCTAGTTGTAAAGGCAACATTTCCCATAATAGTGTAGTTTAATTGATGTACAATAAAAAAAATAGATAATTACTTAGATGAACTAAAATCCAAAAACTATAATAGTATCTCAGTGATACTAAAATAACACAGGAAGAGGGTCAGCTTGAACATCACAATGTCTTAAAAGAAAATGTGAAGAATTGTGAAAGTATATTTGCAGTAAAGTAAATTAAACACTGTTCTTGTGTTCTATGAAGGCTGGAGTCCTGATGCCCGTTATCCCAGGTCCTTCCTCAAAGAGGCACACTTACTGCACTGGAATGGCCACTTCAAGCCCTGGGACTACCCCTGCGCTCATCTGGACCTCTGGGAGAAATGGTTTATCCCAGACCCCACAGGAACATTCACCCTGGTACGACCATAAGACTGAACAATCTCTGAATTTAAACTGGTCACTTCACTGAGACAAGAGATTGGAGTTGGTAATTTTATGTCAGACAATAGTTCCAGTAACTAAATCTTACGAAAATAAAACTTAAAAAAAACACAAAACACAATCCTGTTATTTTTGAAGGGAGACTGTTAAAATGGGTAAAACAAGGCAACGATGAGGTAAAAGACGAATTCCACACAAGGTCCTTTTACGGAAACATTTAATAGTTCTGTGGACAGGAGTCAGCACTCCACAACTGGGTCAGTTAAATATTAACAAATTTACAATCATGGAGGAACGTAAAAAAAAAAGATCACAAACGCAACGCCTTTAAAAAAAAAACAGTTCCTATCCCCCAACCCACCCACACAGAGAAAAGACAATCAGCTGAGATCGGCATCTTCACTCTGCATCACAGTCCGACACCCCGTCCCTCTTAGATTTACACTTTACAGCTCATCTCGGTCTTTGGTATCCTGAAACACAGAAGTACGGGTGTTAAGACAAATGAAGACACAAGGAACACATTCTCAAATGAGTTCCATTTATCCACCCTCATGTAGTTTCAAACCATTTAAATGTTACGCTTCATATCGATAGTCCATGCATGCGTTTTGGATTGCACACGTTTTGTTCTGGTCTGTTCTAAACTTGCATGGTAGAGTATAAAAATGCAATTGTACTGCGCATTCGAACGCACCCATCCACAGTTGAATATACTTTGAAAGCTGAGCAGACACCACTGTGCGCGAGACGGAGCCGAATGTGGATAATGACGGATACCCAGGCCTTTAGTAGACTGACTGCTAAACTACCAACACCATTTAGATTATCATCAACAGACATTCTACTAAGTAACTTTGCTAGTACACGTCAACTTATTCTACTAACCCTAAACCAAACCTAGTCTACAAATACTCCGAATTAGTTGAAATGTAGTTGCAAAGTTACATCTAAAGTGGTCTAAAGTAACATCTAAAGTAGACTACCAAAATAAAGTGTAACACTAATAAATTCTCCATTTGCATTTCATGAAAGATACAATTTTGGAACATGAGGATGTATTAAGTGAGTTCACTCACCGAATCTTCTTCCTCCTCATCTGCCTGGACCTCCTCTTCATCCTCAGCATCTGCTTCCTCGGTCTGTTCTTCTGGTTCTTCCTCTGGCTCCTCCTCAACCTGTGAACACGGTAACAGGATATTGAGCCAAACTTCATTTGAACATCTCCATTTCGTGTACCGGTGCTCGATTGTGCGTGTACCTGTGTGTCGAGGTCTACATTCATGCTGAGCCGCAGCATGCGCTCTATTCTTTCTCCATAAGCTTTGGTGTCTGAGAGCTGGTAGCCGGATCGCAGTGTGGCAGTCTCAAAGAGCACTACGGCTAAATCCGCAGCTGTCTGATCCTCGGAGTCTTCCTATAAGACAAAGCACAATAAGTCAGACTATTTGAACTCAATTTGCAGCTTTTAAGTGGAATATTTAATAAAAGTGAATTGAATCAGAGTGATGTTTAACTTACATGGACTCTCCTCAACATCTCCTTGATGAGAGGATGTTTGGGGTTGATTTCTAATGTCTTCTTTTGACTTGCGTAATAACTAGAATGAGGAAAAAAACCGATTTACTTTATGACCAGATAAATTAAAATTTGCAGAATATTAGCTATTTTTCCATTTTCACATGGCAAGCCAAGAAGTCTACAGCTCTACAGGTTCGGTCACATTTACAGATGTTTTGCCAATTTTCGTGGGCAAAATTCAGCAATTGCCATAGGAATCGTGCATGAGGACGAAAGATTTCCACACGGATTTTCCGTAGCGGAAGTCAGTCATTCGGTGATTGACAAAAAGTAGCTTGGTTTGAGCTGTGCTTCATACACATCACTACACTACTAACAGTAGACAATTGTCTTTTTGTCAGCAATAAGTTAACAAATTATACTTATGTGACTGCATCTTAAGATGTGGTTAATGGCTGCCAGATCATTGCTATGCAGTTGCTAAGGTGATTGCCACTGTGATCATGCTTTTAAGACTTTTTCAGGGGACATACTTTGTGGAAATGTCTTTTCCTGTCTGGTAAGCCTGGGCTTTCATGATCCGTTCCATGTTGCCAGACCATCCGTACTGACTGGCAACCAGAGCGCATGGAGAGTTGGTCAGCCTCTGGGACAAAATGGCCTTCTCGATCTGAAACACGAAACAAGGACAAACATGTTTGCCACTTCTACAAGTCAGACAGCTTTTAATATGCAATACAATGAAACAAAGGAAATCATCATACGTTGTCCTTCAGGGCCTTGTCTTTCATCCAGGTGGTCAGGGGTTCAAACTCTTTCTCCAAAGCTTCCCTCTTCTCCTTGGCCGAATCACTCTCGTCAAACTTCACACCCTCCTTCGCCACATTCTGGAAGCGTTTGCCGTCAAACTCAGGCAGGGCCTGGATGCAGTACTCGTCCACTGGCTCAGTCAGGTAGACGACCTCATATCCTTTCTTAAGAAGCCTCTCCACAAATGGAGAAGACTCAGCCTAAAACCAGATTAAATATTACACGTTACTATGGAAATTGAGAAATGGAGTACCTTAGTAATACGCACAGTTAAAAGTAAAAACATTTAAGCACCTCCTTTCTGCTGGTTCCAGCCATGAAGAAGATCTTGTCTTGCTTCTCCTTCATCCTCTCCACATACTGCTCCAGACTAGACTGTACGGTCTCGCTGTGGGAGGTCTGGAAGCGGAGCAGCTTGGCCAGGCGGGTTCTGTTGGAGTGATCCTCAATAACTCCCAGTTTGATGTTGGTGCCGAACTCCTTCCAGAACTTGTCATTGTACTCCTCCTCGGCGATCTTCTTGATCATATCCAGGGTCTTGCGGACCAGCTTCTTACGGATGACCTAAGGAACGAACATGAGTTTTGAAAACAATTGAAATTTGCCTGTGCAACATATATAATCTCATCATTTAATTTAACAAAAGTCAATGTTACTTTGAGTGACACGATAACTCACCTTGAGCAGTTTGTGTTGCTGAAGAGTCTCTCTGGACACATTCAGAGGCAGATCATCAGAGTCCACCTGAGAAATGAGATCAAACATTGAGTCTCCAAACATTATAATTATTGGCTGAGACTTATAAAAATGTATATTTTATTTTAAGTGATTACACCATCTACCTTCCTGCCTTGGTATGACATTACAATATCAAATGTTTCAAATATTTTTTAAATAATTGCATATTCACAAATTCTATATGAAAAAGCTACTAATTCATAGGCAGCTAGTTTTTTTTATAATATAGTTTAAACACTTGATTATTCCTGGGTAAAAGTACTAAATAAATTCGAATTAAATGCCGAAAACAAATCGATTTTGCTAAATAAAAGCACATTTATACCCTCCAATATATTACATTAGATGTTGCGTTACTGCACACATGCAATCTGCTCAATGGAAGGCTCTTCACTAATGAGCCAAAATGCAGAAGTATTATCGCTTCTAGAGAAATGCAAACAAGATATTTCTGTACGTGCAGAACTAGGATTGTAAAGGTTTATCACAAATTTCAGTGCATTCTGAATATCGTAATGGCAACACTTAATAGACAGCCAACAGCACTTACAACGCCTCTGATGAAGTTGAGGTACTTGGGCATCATGTCATGGAAGTCATCAGTGATGAAGACTCTACGCACAAATAACTGAGAGGAAAGAACCAAATTGGGTACGGTTAACTCCACTACAACATAAGAGAATGTGTTATTTTCCCAAATAAAGGTTATCAAAATCACCTTGATGAAGTCATTCTTCTTGGTCCCATATTCGTCGAAAAGACCTCTGGGTGCAGATGCAGGGATGAAGAGGATGGACTTGAAGGTAACCTCGCCTTCAGCGGTGAAGTGAATGTGTGACATGGGCTCATCTGTGTCCTGAATGAAATCAGAATTCCACTTTAATTAATCCAAGAGGCCACAGGTGACCATAAAAGTTGATTATTTGTGCGCAAAGCACACGTTCTCTCACCCTGGAGAAGGTCTTGTAGAAGGCTTTGTATTCATCCTCCTCTACTTCTTTTGCAGGCCTCTGCCAGATGGGTTTGATGTCATTCATCAGTTCCCAGTCCCACACGGTCTTCTCCACCTGAAGGAAGTGAGGAATCATTGAGAAATGTATATAAAAGAGTTGCTGCTAGGGTTTATTTGCATATACGTTACCTTTTTAGTCTTTGGTTTGTCCTTGTCTTCATCCTCTTCCTCAACCTCAGCTTCATCTTCAGTGGTCTCTTCCTTATCTGCCTCAGCCTCATCCTCAATGGGCTCCTCCACAGTCTCGGTCTGAGAAACGACAAATCGATGAGTCCTAAAGCTAGTTAAGCAAATGGTAAACTTCAAACTAGCGAGTCTTTGGTGGAGACACTGACCTTGCTGCTCCATACATAGATGGGGAAGTTGATGAACTGGGAGTACTTCCTCACCAGGTTCTTAATAGTCTCCAGCTCAAGGTAGTCAGAAGCTTCCTCTTTCATCACCAACCTGATGAAACGAGACTTTAGTTACAACGCGTCACAATCTACACATTTGAAACATTTCAAGTTCAGCTGCTTACGTAATGGTGGTGCCTCTGCCCAGAGTGTCACCACGAGGGTCTTCGATGACAGAGAACTCGTTGGAATCAGATTCCCAGATGTGTTGGGTGCCGTTGTTGTGCTTGGTGGTGACAATGACCCTATCAGCCACAAGGAAGGCAGAGTAGAAGCCCACACCAAACTGACCAATCAGCTCAGAGGTGGACTGATTGTCATCCTGTATCTCGGTCATCTTGTTGAGGAACTCGCTGGTTCCGGACTTGGCGATGGTACCAAGGTTCTTCACAAGTTCTTCTTTGGTCATGCCGATGCCAGTGTCAGTGATGTGAAGCATGTTCTTTTCCTTGTCGGACTGATGAGAAAAAACAAGACACAGGACTAAGTATTGAATAACCTAGATAAAAGCAAGTCAAAATATTGACAAAATGAACTAGTTGGTTGGAGTGCTTTAACGCCATGCCAGCTTCATTGTCTATTTTCATGGCAAGTAACAAGTTAAACCATAGAGCAATTAAAAAACCTATATAAACCTATAACCTATATAAAAGGTCTTTAAAAATTTGCTTTAGATTAAAACAGATACAGTTGACTTACTCTTCTAAAGTGTTTGCAGAGTAATATAATTTCCAAAGAGAACTTAAACCATAATGTATTCAAATCTATTTAAGAGATACTGGACTTTACTAAATGAACGAATAAATAAAAATGTAATCATTTGCGTAGTTAAACAAGGTGTTGAGTATCAAAATTAAGATATGAAAATTACAGGAAGGAAATGCTCCTCAATTTGCTTCACACATGGTTGAATTCCTTTTGCAATGCAAATGTGAGTTGTTGTCTCTCTCCACTGGAAATTTGAAGAACAGTAGGCGAGTCTCAGGACTAATTTTTAACACACCTTGATTTTAATAGTAAGTTCTTCATTTCCAGCAAGGGCATCATCGTTGGTCAGGGACAACAACCGGATCTTATCCAAGGCATCGGAAGCATTAGAGATGAGTTCTCGAAGGAAGATCTTTAGGGTGAAAAAAATATTATTAAGCGTTAATCTTGTGTGATTTGCAAAACCATGAGGAACAGCATAAAGACTAAAACTACCTTTAACATCTTCCACCTCCAATACTCACCTCCTTGTTCTTATACAGAGAATTGATGATCAGTTTCATCATCCGGTTCACTTCCGCCTGGAATACATGCTTTTCTGCTTTATCGCGTATTTCCTTTATCTGTGAGGCGTTCAAACCATCTAGCTGAATGGCTTCTTCCTCCCTGTTAGAGAAGAGATGGGAGAGTGCAAAGGATGCTTGTGACATGTTCGTTTCTCTGGGGACTTATTACAATTTACCCTTGGGTATTGTGGAGAAAGACACAAATGCATCAGCCAGATGTTCAACCTCCATTGGGGAGCATTTATGGTCTTTGTGAGGAGCTTAAAGTGAATATATCCAAATGTAACCTCAGAGCAGATAAACAAATGTATTTAATAAGCTAAAAAAAGCAGCTAAGATTACTTTAAGATCTGAGTGTCTAAATAAAGGGTCGCAGTCATTTTCCTCAATCTTAAATTGAGGTTCATATCAGTCAGGTGTAGTTCAAGTCCATACAGACCTCTGAACAACCTCGTCATCTGTGCGGGATCCGTCTCTGCTCTTCCCAAGGTCCTCTTCCACTGTGCCGTCAATGTCAACGTCATCATCAGCTTTCACAGATGCTGCAATTATGCAAAACAAAGATTATGACAAAACCACAAATAATGTAAATGCACCATTGGTGATAAAAAGCACTTAAAGGCTATACAGATTCAACAGTGTTACTTAACTTAATGATATAACAGCACTAAAATTCAACTCAATTCCGAAGTAGATTTGCTCAGTAAAAACCCTTTTGTGCCCAGCAAGGATGATTGTTCATTTTACATGAATGTGCTCTGTGAAGCAAAATTGTATCAAAATTGCTCAGGTAAGGCTCTGAAATGCGCAAAATACTCTTGATTTGTGTGCAAATGCACTTTCTTGATCCAGAAGATCTCAGTTAGACACTTAAAGGCCTTGATGTGACAGTTCACATGGTTCAAGATCGCCGATTCAATTCTTCTTTAAATGTGCAATTAGACTTCATGGTTCCATTTCTCTTGCACGACTACATTATTAGTTGTTTTTTTAAATCGCGCATTAGTAAAAGCAACCATTTCAATGCAATTTGTCACCATAAAGCATCATAAATGTATCATTATTAAATGGCATCTGAATATATGAAGGCCATTTCAATCTTGAGGAAACTTCCAGAAGCACATGCAATTCAAATCCACTCTCCAGGTTTTATTTCCTGTTCTGAATCAGTCATCCATTTAGGAAGCGTTAAAAAAAAGATTTTCAAAAACTGAATATATAATGCTAAAGCTTACATGGAACCACACAAAGACAGCAACATTACTGCAAACAGTCACTGAAGCTTTGTCAAGTTCAAAGACAGCAAACTGGATAACGGTGCGTTTCAAGGCCATTTAATAAAACATACTCACCGAAAGCCAATAGTGTACAGAGGAGACCGATAATCCATAGTCGCCCCATTGTTTTAGAAAGAAAAACTGTTTATTAATGAGACTCAATAGCAGATTAACGCCTTGAGCATTTGCTGCACCATGAACGCCTCGATGAATTCTTGCAGTGCGTGGACAGAGAGCGAGAAATCTGCTTTATAAACTCCTCCGCTCTAGGGCTGTGCTCATTCGTCATGAGCCAATCACAGCACCCCACGCACAACACCGCACCAATCAGAGAGCGGTCCGCAGCCGTTGTCGTCCAATAACCGCCTTACATGTCCGATTTTACACGTTCCGATCGTGGCTCGCGTTGATTGGCTCAACGGGATGCCAATTCATCGAGCGAAGGGGATTTTGTCATAGACTGATCTGGGGACGGTGTGGGTTTTGTTTACTTCTTTGAGCGGGTTGGGGGAAACGGAACTAGGTGATTCAGAATCAGATTACAATTATATTACGGTCACCTTAGCAACAAGTTGTTGACATGATATACCACAAGAAAGTCCCGATAGGATTAGTTGACTTAAAAGATACACTTAGTTTTTTTCTTTTTTCTATTTTACTTAGTTTTTGTTGACTGGATTTTTTTTAGTAAGGGAGAGATTAAAACATTAAAATATTTTATTTATGTACCCTTTAATATTCGTGCATTTCATTTTTTCTCTGTTGAATGTAACATATTTAGTTTTCTGAAAGTGTCACACACTAAAAATGCAAGGAATAAATATCCAAGAAAAAATGATGGGAGCATCTGACAGCCTGGTGTTTCCTCTTCAGCCTTACCTGTGCTATTTTCCAGGTGATCTTCAAGAAGAGTTGTCTTACCTGAAAGCAGAGGTGTTTCCCCACCTAGATGCACTTTGCCAGACAAGAGGCGCCTGTTTCAGACCCGTGGACTTACAGCGAAGCAAACAAGAAAGGGATTATAAAAATAATGACAATGATGAACATCAGATAAATAAGCCAGATCTTTTCGACCAGCAGTTGAAAATCAGTTTGGATCTCATCGACCGCTCATCTTTTTTAATCTGTCTTCTTGGACACAGCTATGGACAATGTCTGCCAGGAGAGAATGGTTCTCAATCTGATGTCGGCCCATGTTCTTTGTCTGAGGTGGCAAGGAACTTGCATGTTGCTGCAAAGGCTGGTTACCCTTGGGTCATGGAGGACAGGTATCGCACCTGTAGCCTGACAGAGCTGGAGATCACCAAGGCAGCCTTCATTGACAACCACAGAAGCTGCTTCTTTTATTTTAAAGACTGTACCCCACAGGATGTGGAGGATGACAGCAGTGATGAAATGCACATCTTCTTGAACATGCTATCCAATCAGAGCAAAAGCGAGAGACAGAGAATGAGAGATCTAAAAAGAAGGATCATAAATCTTTGTCTTCCTGTCAGGTTTGAGAACAGACCACAATGTCTTGAAACATAAATACAGATTTATTTTAAATACTAAATTCCATTTGTGTGTGTGTGTGTGCGTATATATATATATATATATATATATATACACTGCAGTCAAACCAATAATTATTCAGACACCAGATATATATTTGTTTTACTAGTTTGCGCAGGACACTATTGTTCATTTAAATGAGGAAAGCAAAATAAAGTAAACTGTGCCATATATAATACTCAAAAATTCTTCATACAGTGGACTAGTAAAATCTATAAAAATTTGGGACCAAAAATGATTCAGACACTTTGACCTGACTTTGACCTGTTTTGCTTTTAGTGTTTTTTCTTTAATTGCTAATGCAACCTTTTTACACCACAGACTGAACAAAATTAAGCCTTGCTTGGTAATTGGTTGACCTAAATTGGTATTTATCTATTTATCTAATTGTGTACTTAAATTGAACAGCTGACACCTATTCAACCTAATTCATTTGTGAGATAGTCTTACAGAAGAATGGCCAAAACCATGATTTGATAACTCTCCTCTTGTCATATTTTAATGAAGTTCCTAAACGTAAATTAGGGAGGAGCGAGCCCATCCAATCTTTCAATCAACAAACAGAGTATATAAGCAGCCGCTTACCTCTCCCTAGTATCAGCTGTTCCAGTATCCCTCCACCTCCCCAAACTCCACCTTCATCTTAGGTACCTTGCCCTTTAATTAACAGGTCCTACATTTAGCCACTGGGGGGTATATCAGAGCTCGAGTTGAAGCTGCTTCATCGAGCCCCTCTCCAGCGGACAGCAAGCCAAATAAGTTTAACCTAATATCTTAAAGATTTTATGGGCAAACGAACTCGTTAATTACCATTTTGTAAACTATAGCGAATAAACTGATAATGTTAGAAATGTTGAAGATCTCTGAATAAATTTTGGTTTGACTGGATATATGCTTCCTTCTTTTTCTTTCCACTGTGTGACAGATTCTTCAGAAACCTCAATGAACTTAAGGAGATGATAAGGGTGGATTGGGAAGGAGTCATTTCTAAGTTTCATGAGGATCCAAAACATCCCATTTTAGGTAGGCCTATTATTCTTGACCAGTTTTTTTGTTATCTAATAAAAGGCTTTTAAACAAGTTCTGAATTAAGCCTATATTTTATTCCTGTTTTATTTTGTTATTTGATCTGATTTATTTGATTACGTTATTTTTTTATATTTATATTTTATTGATTATATATCTGCATGTATATTTTATTTATATATTATATTTTGGTAATAGTATATAATTATTTTAATTTTTATTCTTTCTCTGGCCTAATAAAAACCTAGGGAAAAGTTCTGAAGTATCAGCCTGGTACTTTTTGAGTTGTTAAATGGCTTTGGGGTTTCTCAGACCCCAAAACAGAACATAAAGGTTAAAATAAGAAACATTTGTGATTTTTGAATCGATTTGTTTTAGGATGGCAGGATTCATTCGATTGGCATCACCAACAGAGCCATGCACGTGGATTGTGTGACTGGTTTGTGCCCTCAGTGCCCACCACAGAAATACTGAATGCAATAAACACATTTCTGCATTCTATAATCCATAATACAAAATCTGAGACACACTCAAAAAACCCAAGTGCTCATTTCACATGGTAAGAAGATAAAAACTAAATACAGAAGGCAAACTGTGTTTGATTAACATGTGTTATATTAAAGGACAAATTATTGTTTACTTTCAGTGATTTTGACCAGAAAGACTCCGTGAAGTCTATCTTACTGGTATGTGGTGAAAGGGGTTGTGGGAAGTCCACTCTGGCAGCGAGGTGGCTGCGAACCTTCTGCCGACAGAATCCTGATTTTCTAGTCATTTCTCACTTCTGTGAAACCAGCACATCCAGCACTGATGTCAGGTCTATGCTTAGACAGTGTACTGCCCAACTTCGAAGAGCACATTATGGTAAATTTCCTCATTTTTTCCAGCAGAAGTGTGTTATGAGTCTTGGACCTTTCTTTATAAATATCACAAATATATAAATTCTGAACTCTGGCCCTCGAGGTCCACTTTCCTGCAGAGTTGTTGCGTTCCATTTGTCCTCGGAAGTGGGAACTTCATCTGGTCGGAGTTGTGATGGAAAAACTCAGAGGCTTAGCGCATCAACTTGTGAACCAGTAGTAATTTATTGTTTATTAGCACTTCCGTTTGTCTTTGTCTCAATAAACCCAGTGGTGCACACATCCAACCTCTGTTTTTGGACATGATAGTTTGGTTTTATCTGTACAAAATACCACTTTTTTATGTGTTTATATGCTGAAAGAGCAATTACATTAAGGTTTGCCATCTTAGTTTTCTGACCTGTGTACGGGAACGTGCAACTCCGGTGTGTCATTCCCAGCTTCGACATTCCTCTTCCGAAGTTTTATTAGGTAAACCGTAATAAAACACACCTGAACAAGCTAATCAAGGTCTTCAGTATTACCAGAAAATTACAGGCATGCGAGTTTGATCACGGTTGGAGCTAAACACTGCAGGAAAGTGGATCTCGGGGGCCAGAGTGGAGAACACATGTTTTATAGCATCATAAATAAAGACCAAATATTATATATATTTTGCATCTAATTTGTTTCTGCAGGTGATTTTCCAGATTGGGAAGACATCATTGAGTTTGAGTACCTCCATCGAGCTGTCCAGGCATTTACGGCAGCAGCCAATCTTGGGCCTTGTATTCTTCTTCTAGATGGTATTGACCTTTTGACAGAAACACTTGGACTCTCAACGCAAGAGGTGATCTTTTAGTCCTCTGCATGGTTTGCATGAGCAGGTTGTCTTTAACTTTTTAATTTCAATAAAATGAACACCTTTTTTGTTTCGTTTTCCAGGTGAAGGCACTACAATGGCTGCCAGATCCTCTGCCTCACTGTTGCAAAATGATCATCACAACAACCTTTACTGACCTCACTTACAAAAGTCTCACCAGCAGGACTGATGTCCAGATTCTCAGCTGTCCCCATATCTCCGATCCTAGTGTTCAGCAGAGCATTTTACTCAGACATCTGGCTTTACCTTACAAGGAGCTGCCAACCAGTGTTTTGCAAAGAATTGTGCGTAAGAAGCAGTGCCACCTGCCGGCTTTTTTAGCGCTCATTGGCACAGAGTTACGGACGTGTGCATTGCTGAGGGAGAAAGAGCAAGAGATGGAGCTGTTGCAGGAGTATGTAGAAGCTGATTCGGTTCCAGAGCTCTGGGTGAAGGTCATACATCGCTGGGTAAAAGATTTCAGCAGAACTGCTCCAACAGAAGTCACTGAGACTCGGACAAGCACTGCATCACTATATGTTTTTGGTAAGTACTTTTTACTTTATTATATAAAATCATCATGCTTGTCCTGACTTTTATATTTCATTAGTTACAGCTAATAAGCATTTCCTCTTCCGCTCTCTCTCTCTACAGATCTCTCAGGCTGGGTGTGGGACACACTCTGTCTCGTTCATGTGTCTCGTGCTGGCCTGACTGAGGCTCAGGTTCTGGCTTTGTTGGAAGATCTAGGTTACTGTGGTAATCTAAGAGTCGAGGGTTTGGAATGGGCCCGATTGCGCTCTGCTTTTTGGCCTTGGGTTAAGGAGAAATACAATGGTCTTCTGACCATCATGCATCAGTCCCTCAGCCAGGCAATGAGCCTGTTGTTGCATGGTAAGGATGTTTATGTTATTTGTCTTATTCTCTTTTTATTATATTTTCATTCCTTGCTACAAAGGAATTCTTGAATTCACTAGGATTTTTGAAATAGAGTTCAAATACTTTAAAGAGTAATATAATTTCCATGCAGTAAAAACAGAACTGTGTTCACACAGTTGTGCTCTTGTCTCTTTCACTTTAAGGTATGGAGGGTCAGAATTCCTATCATCTGATCCTTGCTACGTTTTTTCAGAAGTCCAGTTTAGAGCTTTGTAGCTGGGCAAGAAAGGTGGAAGAGATTCCTTGGCATCTCAAGCAAACTGGTTCATTCAAGGAGTTGAATGACTTCCTTAGCGATCCAGCGTACGATAACTGCAATTTCTCTTTGATTGGAAAATCTTTTGCTAATGCAGTAGGCATTGTGTTTTTTAGTTCGTTATGAAATAAATAGTTCATATCTCAGTCAACACTGATGCTTTAACATACTGGAGAGATATATATATATATCTCCATCTTTTTCATAGTGCCATGGAGTTTTTGTCAAGCAACCTGAAGCGATACCCACAGATGACAATTGATGTTGTACATTATTGGACACTACTAAGGGAGAGAGGATTTGATTCTGTGACGTCATTCCAGAATATGATGGCTCAGACTTGGGAGCGTCTTAATGGTAAAACCGACTTTTTATTATCGTTATCAAATAAAATGGAAAAATCAGCTTCTGTCATTGCCACATAGACAGAAATATATGGCATTATTAGTAAATAACATGCATCATGTTATTCTTGTAAGCCCGGCCACTTATCTGAAATAATACAGTACTTTTTTTGTAAATGATAGTAATGCAAATTGTTAAAGAAAACCTGTAAAGTATTAAATTGTATTATAAATTGTAAGGAATTGCCTTTAAAAGATCCCCTTGGAAAGGACCATTCTTATATGTAGACTCAGAAAAGCAGAATTTATGGTTTTATATTATTTAAAATATTTACCATGTATAGTATTCATCTCGGCCACCTGAAAGGATGCTTTGGTCGTTTTTTGTAAGTAATGTAAAGTGTACAAGTAAACTATAAATGATTGTAATAATGATCACTTCTTGGTATACGTTACTTTCACCTGGTCTTTCTTAGACGCTCACCCTCCAGATCCCAGCAGTGTGTGGCGATTAACATTGTTCTGCTGTAAAGTTCTGCTCTGTTTGGGTGAGATACAGCAAGCTGAGGAGCTGCTACTAAAAGCAGATCAAATTTTCCAGAAGGTAAAAATAAAACAAGACACTTTCTGTAATATATGATTAGCTAATCATTGTCAGAAATGGTATGCATTCAAAAAACAAGAACACAATAATGGATCATACTCTAATATGCAAGGTTTCATTCTGTTTTCCTCCACAGGGAATGGAGCAGGATTGTGACAGTATGAGGTTACTGCTCAAAGTGCAGCATATGCTGGCAGAGCTTTACGTCCGTATGCATCTGCCGAAAGACTCAGAGATGTATTGCCACAAGGGACTTGAGACTGCCAGGTGTCTTACAGTAGCCCGTCTTGACAGCGCAGAGGTCAAACTGATAGTTGGTAACATGCATTTCATATTTCCTCCTGCATTCATATAACAAGCGAGTTATATTTTGTCAAGCGTACGTATTTTGCAGTTCTAATCTGCTCTCACAGGACAGCTGCTTTGTCATCTGTGTCTGGCATTGCTGGCGGATGGACGGGTATATGCAGTGCCAGGGCTTTTCAAAGAGATCAGCTCTTCTAGATACATTTCTGTCCATCCTTGTGCTGAAGGCACAGCCATGCTACTGAAGGCCATTCACAAGTAAGACAACAAAAAAGTGTGAAAAGTTTCCCCCCGAATTTAATTTAATTTGATTTAGAAATATTCAAATTCATTTCATTCATTTTAACTTAGAAATATTTAATTTAATTTAAGAATTATTCAATTAAATATTTAAAATTTATATTAAATTATAAATGATGCTACATCCGATGCAACATTGCACATTCCACTTTTCTTTTTTTGCCGTATACGGCCTGTAGGATGTAGTTTGCCCCCCACTGGGATAAAGTCAAAGCATGTAAAACATACAAAAATAACTTTGTGCACATTTCATTGCATTTTCACACGTTTCAAGGTTGAGTCTTTGTAAGCCCAAGACTGCCGAGAGATGCTTCCAAGCTGCACTGGCCAGCAGGAGGCGCTGGTGTGGCCATGATCATCCTCTGGTAGCAGAAGTGGAGGAGCAGCTTGCAGATCTCTGGGCCAGTGCTCAAACCAATACAGAGTAAGACATGGACTTATGTGCAATGCTTATCTAGTTACCTCAACCTCATCAAACCTCAAGGTCACAGGCTTGATTTGCACTTTTAGATGGACACAGAGGAAGATTGTTGAACTGTACCGCCATGCTTTAAGCACGACAGAGACTGAGGCTCGGACATTGCAACTTCCCACCGCGCAACACAACCTTGCTGTCGTTCTTATGAAGCTTGGTGAGTGACTAAATGGCTGCTTGAACAACAGCAGTGACCACACACTTTAGTGGCCTTGGTTTCAGAGGCATATTCTTCATTAAAAGCTTTGTCTGTTTTATGGTGTCTGGTCTGGCAGGTAAAGTGTTGTTGCGTAGCTGCAGTAGAGTGGAGAGGAGAGAGGGGCTGGATCTACTCCAGAGAGCTGCAGACATAAGGATTCACCTCCTGGGCCCTGAGCACCCACTGACCCGAGACCTGGAGCAGTGAGCTCCATTTCATTACACTACAACTGCTTTTAAGAAATCACACAGTCAGTGGGCTACAACAGTCTACAGACTAGGAGCTTCTCTACAGACAGATCGTCATCTTGTAACCAGGATTAAACCCTAAAAAGACAGTGGAGGTTCTCAGCTTTCTGTATTTGGGCCACAGAGTGACATTTGGTTTATTTGACCAGCAACTGTCTCTTACCAGATCAACCGAAGGGGGGGCTTTCCCAGGGAGACGGATCATCCAGAGGAAGCTCTCAAGGCACTGAACAGAAAGATGAGAAGACTAACTTCTAACTGCATATCACTTTGTCACATGGTCAGACCAGTCATGTCTTTTATTGTAAGAGGCACATTATTCTATTCTATTCTATTCTATTCTATTCTATTCATATTAGCATAAAGTCTGTACATGTTTGCATAAACATTTGTGTTTTCTAGGATGCGGACATTCAAAAGATGTTTTTTTTTGCTCACCATGGCTGCATTTCTTTAATTAAAAAACAGTAAAAATAGCAATATTGTGAAATATTAGAACTGTTTTCTACTTTAATTGTCAGAAATTGTCAGTTCATAATTTAAGTTCTGTATGGCTTATAAATATTTGGCATGCAGTTGTAATGTATCTAGGACTATTATAAGTATTTATGACATGTATATTGCTTTTGTTCATTTGCTTCTAATGAACAGGTACACTACCATCAGACATGTCTTTTCTGTAAAAGGGAAATTCTATTCTATTCATTTTTCTGTCTTTCTATCTGTCTATCTATATGTCTGTCTATCTGTCTGTCTGTATGTCATCCAGTCATCCAGCCATCCATCCATCTTTGGTGGATCTTGAGGGGGAGTTTTTTTTTAGACTTTTATTTTGAAAATAGCTGGCACTGTGTACTTGGCTGGAATCTTAGACCGTGCTTTCACAGTTTCCGCTTTCATTTCTGTAGAAACGCAGATTAGAAATCATAGAACTCCGGGCGCGCAGCAGCCCAGCACTGCTCTCACTTCAGCGCAGACATGTCTGGCTATTCTCGGATCATACATCATGCGACCAGCATATTATGCAGCAATAAAGGCTCTATGGAGATATCTCAGCTGCACCAGAGGGTCTTCCAGCGCTTTGAGGTAACCGAAGCAGATTTCTGGTACATCGTTAAGAAATGTGCCCGCTTCACAGTGACCCAGAGCAGACCTAGAACAGAGGATGGAGAGTCTGACTACATTGTTGTCGCGAAAACATCTCTGAGACTCTGCAAGAAATACTCCAAGAATGAATGTTACGAATGTCAGGATTTACACCTGTGCAAGTATTTTGTTTATGGCAACTGCAGATATGGGAAAGGAAGGTAAGGTTGGGAGAACATCTGGATATCTAGTGTAAGATTTTCCTATTATATTTACTAAATGCCGAGCATAAAGTGCTTTCATCCTTAAAAGGACAGGTGCGTTAATACAATACTAAAAATAACAACAGCTATTAGCGGTCATAACGCCTTTAAGTTCTGTATGACACATGCGATTTAACGTAGCCTATCCAGAATTATTTTATGAATATTATAGCTTTTGTTTATTTACATCCTTGAACATATACACTACCAAATTTGCACACACTTACGTCTTATATATTATGGCTATTTTCTGCATTTCAGAATATGTTACAGTGATCACAATTATGAAATAATGCAGCTTAGAGATTGGCGATTATTTTTATTTATATATAATCTATATTAAAAAATGTCTACGTAGTTTATTATAATAATATGAATGACCACGTCATTCATATTAATGATAGCACCCAATAACTCTATTCAAACATATATTAATTAATTTAATGTATTGCTTGGATAATTACTCAACATAAATATAATAACAATAAAATATTCATAATGCATTGTTTTCAGAGTGGTATCAAGTATTATGATCATTTAGTTTTTATTGTGTCAAAAGCAAAAATAAACAATTAAAAACCAGTTATGCATAGCGGTTATCATAGACATTCAAAAATTGGTAGTATAGTAAGAAATATTGGTCATGTAAAAGCAATATCTCTTTATTTTACAGTGTCTTTGTTACATATGTTACATGTACTGTAGTAATTACAGTAAATTATGCTTAATTACCATAATTATACAGCCTAGTAAGTACATGTTAATTAATTGTACTCAGTACTTAAATGCATAATTACATTGTAACAAGGACACCATAAAATAAAGTGTAACCAAAGTTTGGGAATTATGTAGAGACCAAAAATCACTATATGCTTTTTGTGGATGTGTTTGTCAGGAAGGAGTGTAAATATTCCCATAATATCCAGTCACAACATAACTATCCCCTTCTGCGGGAGTGTACGCTTCATGAACTGAACGAGGATGATCTCTTCCTGCTTCTGCTCCAGAATGATCCTGCCCTACTGCCAGAGGTGAGGAAATACAAACAGGAAGGCTTAAAAAGCTACCTAAATGACTCCATTCTCATGAGATAATTCCTCCCCGAAGCCAAACTCATGCTATGATTGGGATATTTCTGCATTCCAGGTACCTCTCCTGCCGTTTGAATCGCCCTTCTCCGTTTCTTTCGCTGTGCGCTCAGTTACGAGACGTTTTCAGAGTAGAAAAGAGCTCACGTAACCGCTCTGACGTTTGTTCTGGCATGTTTGAGTTGATTCAGCGACTGGTTACACCCAAATATACAATGTCACAGTGTGAAGTCATTTAATATTTGAGTATATCATTAGTTTATCAGAACACTTGTTTTTTCTGTGTTATGTCCTGGATAAGGAGCAATCTGATCAGTACCATCAATAAAAAGCCAGTAATCTAAAAAAAAAAAAATCTTCACAAAAAGGTCAAAAAAAAAAAAAAAAAAGCAAGAAAAAGTCAACCATAAGTCATCCAAGTGAAGCTCTACTTCATCAGTGTTCCAGTCAGTATGTTAGTGTAAAAAAAGAAAGAAAAAAAACAGGCAAGTGGTGAATTGAGAAGAATTGTGGTCCGCGTTCAGGATGAAGAGTTGCTGATGGAGAGATATTGATGTTCTAAGATCTCCAGGTGTCCTAAGTGCGTTTTTTCCACTTTGGTTTGGACAAAAAAAAAAAAGACAAAAAAAAAAAAGGAAAAAATGGAGAATGTCCTGTAAACAGGTAAAGTAGAATGTTTTGCTTAGCTCTGTGACGCTTTGGTTTAATCTAGAAGTTTGACAGTATGTGTAAGGCATTTAATTAGTTTAATTTAATTATTAATGAATGCATGTGTGGTTTTGTAATATAATTTTTTTTGCATATAACTCTGATATTTAAATAATCCATCTCGTGTTGTATGTATGCAGGTGTGTGCTCACTATAATAAAGGCACTGGGCTTTTCGGGGCCTGTACCTTTATGGAGCGCTGCACTAAGGTGCATATTTGTCAGCACTTTGTGCAAGACGACTGCCTGTTCGGCCCCAAGTGCAAACGGCAGCACAGCATCGACGAGCACAGCCGCAGGATGCTGGAGGAACGGGGTCTCGGTGGTGACATCATCCATGACCTGCCCTACATCTACCAGAACGTTTATCGCCTGAACTCACAAACTCTAAGCAGTGGTAAGGGCACTTATATTCATTCACACATATTATACACTGATGAGCCAAGACATTATGACCACTCACAGGTGAAGCGAATATCGTTGATCATCTCCTAACAAGGCCACATATTAAGGTCTGGATAGATTAGATGGTAAGGAGACATTCAGTTACATGAGAAAGAGTGGCCTCTTTCAGCAGGATAATGCACCCTATATAATGAAGGGTTTGAGGGCCTGGCCTCCAAATTCCCTAGATCTCAATCTGATTGGGATGTGCTGGATCAACAAGTTAGATCCACGGCAGCTCCGCCTCGCAACTTACAGGACTTGAAGGTCTTTTCTCCTAATGTCTTGGTGGCAGATATACCACAGGACACCTTCATCGGTCCAGGTCTCAGAGGGATGTTTTGGCAGCATGCGAAGGACCAACAGAATATTAGGCAGGCGATCATAATGTTTTGGCTCATCTGTGTATATTCATTAATTCATAATATACATACATATTCATATACATTTCAGAACTGATATCTGATCAAGGCGTCAAACCGGTCGCTCAGATGGAGAAGAATGAAATCTGTCTGCACTTCATAAGACGGAAATGCAAGTTTCAGGGTTGGTGTCAATGTCGTCTAGGTTCCCTCTGGTTAATCTTGTTGCCTTTAACCTATTTACTTTAGAGTTGAGATATAATGGGGTTTTTTATTGCTTCAGATCAGTGTGTCCTTGTCCACTTTAATCTTCCGTATAAGTGGGAGGTTTATGACGGAAAAGACTGGAGGGATTTAAGAAACATGGAGGAAATAGAGAAAGCTTACTGCGACCCAAAGAATGAACACAGGTCAGTACAAATGCACATGCAAGAGTTTGCTTTCCATTTTTCTTTTTTTAAGACATTCATTTGGACTATTTTTTAATTGGAAAAAAAAGGACTGTTTCTTGTGACTGCTCTCCCAGTCTCTTTACTCATCCCTTCTCTTGGACTCAGTCCAGGCTCGAGACCGGTGGATTTTGTGTCCATGACCAGGAACTGTGACCCTGTGCGCCGACTTTCAACAGTCTCTTCCGTCTCTAAACCCGTCCACTACATCCTGACAACAGAGTGGATGTGGTACTACAAAGGAGATCACGAAAACTGGATAGAGTACGGTCAACCGGTGAGACTGGATTGCAAACATAGTGGCCATACTCTCATCTGAGAGGAGTTTATGTTTAAGGTCAGGTTGTGGTTTTGTTTCTGTACTGTTTTTCTTCAGGATGACAAGCAACGTGTGACCTCTGTAACATCCAGAGAGCTGGAGAAAGCTTTTCAGGAGGACAGCAATGCAGAAGTTACTGTCATTAAGGGCAATAGGCATTACTATGTCAGTTTCCAAGGTACTACACACCTTCATATTCCAGGTCTGGAAAAAAATGTCACAAAATGATTTCATTTAAAAGTGACCTTGAGTGTTTATTTTATTATATTATTATTCAATTATATTATATTTATTATATTATATGTAATATATTATATTAAATTATATTATATTGTATTATAGGACTTTCCTTTTTTACAGATATGTATCAAAGGAACCCCAAACACAACACAAAGAGAAGGGTGCGCAGACGACCACACTTTGTGTCTATCAATGAGGTGGAAACTAAAGCTTCCCAGTGACTGACAAAACACACAAACACACTCCATGTTTACGCACCTGAGGATAGACATTCAAATCATGAGTTACTGCTTCAGTTTCTTGCCATTTGGATACACTCACGTGCTCTTAAAGGCATAGGTCACGCAAAACTGAAAATTCTGTCCTCATTTACTGAGCCTCAAGAAGATATTTTGAAGAATGTGGGTAACTAACAGTTTCTTGTCCCCATTGATTTTTTTCTATACTATGGAAGTCAGAGGGGTCCAGACCAGTAACTGTTTGGTAACCCACATTCCTCAAAACCTTCTTTTGTGTTCAACAGAAGAAAGAATGCCATGCAGGGTTAGAACAACTTGAGGGTGAGTAAATAATGACAGAATTTTAAAGCCAATTCACACTGCACCGACAGACTTCGACCAAAGGCTACAGACACTCTGATGGGTTTTGTCAGATCAGTGTGTTTGACTTGTTCAATTGCATTTGTCTGGACGTGGAACGCCTGAGAAGTGGCATACTGTAATATGTGTCCAGTCTTAAAAGTTAGTCATCTACATTTTTTCTTTAAGACTGGTCATAACTTTTTTAAGTCAGTTACATAAAAAGGTATATTGGTATCATTTGAATTGTGAAGATAAGACTGATTACCCCTTGGTTAACTGCTAGTTGGTCAAACTAGTTCTTAAGACACAGTCTTAATATAGTGGCTAAGTTTATGCAACTGGCCCCTGGTGATTGTCTGTGTTGGTCACCATCTGTCTGTGCAGCGTGAATTGGCCTTTACAAACTCAAGGCTCTTCTCAATTAATAAACTGAGGATACCCTATAATAATTGCTCTGAATGAAATGCAATGGCTTTGATCGAAATATTATAGTTATATTAATATGAAGAAATCTTAAATATATTCCATATTTTTTAACCAAAATAGATCTGTCTTTGCCAGAAAATTATGTGGCTACATCTTTGATTTTTAAGTGCTTATGATTTATTTAGCTCAAATAACTGCTCATATGATAGGGTCCTACCCTCAGATCAACACATTTAGATACTGTGACTTTAGCGGAATTTGTATTGCTTTATTTTGTATTATTATTGGTTCTATTGGTTTTTCAAGCCATGGGTTTGTCTGGTGTGCCTTCAGTGAATGTGGTACCTTTGTGGGATGATATGGATCAGCTCATGAGGTACAAACTTGCACTTTTTTCAAACCATACTTCAATAAATTCTCCCTGTTTTTCCTATTTTGTCACTCATTTGAATACAAGGTTTTCCAGATAATCGCAATCTTGCAGGCCCACTGGTGTGTAGCACCAGGGGTTTTAAATGAAATTAACATTAATTTGACCTTGCTGGTTCTCAAATGATTCAAAAACCCCAAGGAGAGCCAAAGAAAAAGCTACGTAGCCTTATTACAGCTTACTTTACCAAATTACCATGTTGTTACTATAATAAAATGGTCGTAATCATATAATGTATAGCATGGTTTAGCTACAAATAGCATGGTTAAATATATAATTAGTTACTCTAAGCTAGTTAAACTATGGTTAATCTACATAAGGGAAATAAATTATATTAACTTTTTAATTTGTTTTCAAACAATGTATCGGACGGGGACATCGAGAAAAAAAATGTTTCAACTGAAACCGAAAACAAATCGGTTTTGTTACCGATTGCGCCTAGAAAATGACTAAAACGAAATTAATTCAAAACATTTACCTTTCTAAAAGTAACTGAACTATTACAAATACAAATAATTACAATACTCTCTTAAACATACGTCCAGGCCCTAGTGTAAATGAACAAGACTATAAAATTAAAATAAGATGAGCGTGTGAGGGTTGCTAAGGGATCCTGCTGACAGCCAATGACAGAGACTCGTTCATTCTGTACGTTTCGTATGAATAAATAGAAGGGGCGGGTCTTTGCCAAGCGCCGCAGATATCGATAAGGCGTAATTCTCCTGTGTGGAGTGTTTTATGCCGAAGAAATGGACATGGGCTGCCAACAATATATTTTAGAAGCGGCTCGCGTATTTATTTAAGCGGTGCAATTTGTCCAGCGTGAGTGGAAGCGATGGGATCTTGGGTAATGGGCCGTTCGTGGGAAGAGCGAGACCTTTATAACCGCTTCTGCACTACACCGGATACCGGGAAATGAACCACGCACGAGCAACGAACTGGATACCGTCTATACGAGGAGCTGTCAGCATAAATATATGATATGATTCATCTGATTTGATTCCCTGCATCGATATTCTCTATTTATGGCCGTTCTGTCATCTTGATATCGGGTGTGTGTAAAGGGGCGCGCGAGTGAGCCGCATCCGCGCGAGGTGCATTTCAACATGACAGGTAACGAAAACGTCTACGATATACGGCACCATTCACCCTCTGTATCTTTGCATGTCAACATCCCATTGAAAAATACCAAAAATATGTATGTAACATATGATATATAGGGGTTGGGGAGATCCCAGCGTCTGAAGATGCCGTTTTTCCATCTTTGACCCTGTGCATGCGCTTCGTCTGTTCCCACACCCGCCCTTTTCTATCTGTACCGCTTTTTATCTGCTTCAGATCATGCCCGTTATCTCCATACCTGTCTGACATGATGCGCGTGATATTAACCTCACGGGAGCATCGGGCCGCGCGCACCGATGATCTGTAACCTACATTCCCACAGTATATTCTGTGGGAATATTCTGAATATACTGTGGGAATGTAGGTTACAGATCATCGGTGCGCGCGGCACCGTATATATGCCGGTGTATATTCACTTAATGGCATTATAGGTTTGCATGGCATTGAAGTAAATGAAAATTATAATACGGATGATGCATGATAGATAGATATTTTGCTTTTAATGACATTTTTCCAATATGTTTAGATATTTTACTAAGATTTAAAAAGATGAAACATTTGATGCTAATACAATATAATTGTGAAAAAATTAGATGTACACATATGTACTCACTATTTGAAAACAGAAATAGTTCATTATCAACTGATTGCAGACTTTGGCATCTTGACCAACTGGACACATTTCAGATCTCTTCTGAAAGTTCTTTTTCTCAGAAGACACATCTTCAAAATATACAATAAACAACAAGATATTATATATACAGTATAGCAGACTGATACTATTTGCCAAGAATGGAAACTAAAAACTGATTGATTGATGTGGGGAGGATGATGATGATGCTTCCAATTCATCTTATTATGAGCTCTGAACTAATGTGAGATTCAGCTTTACTCTCTAACAGATTATGTGTTTTCCCTTCTCACAGCAATGTATAGAGGAAGGATACCAAGCGGGAAGACCTGTGGCTATCCGGGGGACATTTTATCAGGGTCAGATGGCCTTTCTTGAATAAGAAACAAGCAAAAATGGAGAGCTCCAGTTCAAGGATGGTTCTGAGGAGCTCCCGGCGTCTGCTCGGATGTTGTGCGCTTCTGCTCGCGACCGTGATGCTGGTGGGCTTCATGCCGACGTCCAGCTCACCTGTGGCAGGTATCTCATCTTAGGCATTAAAAGTTTGGCTTTAGCATGTTACATTTACATTACATGTTACATTTCATTTGGTTTCTGTGAACCTATTGTGAGTCAATATCATAAATAGCGAGTCTTTTCTATCACAGAACGTCAGAGAGACGGTGGGCGTATGTGCGAGTGATGCTCTCTTTGTGTGAATGACGTCTGTTGCTGTAGAGGTGCAGAATGAATGGGATTCACAGTGAATTGTATTGAATTGTGTGTGAGACAGTTCGAAGGAAGTGCATATCTGCCCACACAGTGACTTCTTCGATTGATATTTCCTTGAAATTATGTGCTGAGGATACAGATCAGAAATGGTCGGCTTAGTTGGAGTTTCTTTTTTTTTTTGGTTACTCTTCAAGATAAAAGTTCTTTATTGTTATTGATAGTTCCATGAAGAACCTTTAACTTCAATGGAATTTTTCCATTCCACAAAAGGTTCTTTATAGTGGAAAAATGTTCTTTCGATCATTAAAATGTTCTTCACATTAAGATAAAAATAAAAAAAAAGGTTATTTTAAGAACTATTCACTGAAATGTTTGTTGGTTCATTGTTTTCTCCACCTTCATTTTTAAGAGTGTAGGAACTTTCAATTGATCAAAAGGTTCTTTAAAGTGGGAAAAGTTCCCAAACTTTTTTGTCAGCCAAACCCCAGTTAGAACTTAGAAGTCAAATATTTACCCCCTAAAATAGACTATAGACTACTGGTTAATATTGAAATATTTTAATGACACATTTGCATGTTGATAATCATCATCATAATAATAATAATATTATTATTACTGTTAGTGGTAGCAATAGTAGTATTTTAACTAAATAAATACAAACATATTACTGTTGTAAATTACAATTGTACTAATAATTATTAGATAATTATAATAATGAAATGTGACTTAGAGAGTTATTTAATAAGACTATATAGTTATTTAATTAAAATGCAGCCTTTGATTTGATAATTGCACTAAGCTACGTATATTGTGATTATCTTGCAGCCCCATTTATTTATTTTAATTTTACATTCAATAGTTTATTAATAGTTTTTCATCAATTCACGATCCCCCTGCAGTTCTTTCACAAACTCCTTTTTGGAAAACCCTGCTTCAGATTATTGAAATGTTCTTTACACTAAGAATAAAATGGTTCTTTTAAGAATCATTCACTGAAAGGTTCTTTCAAACCCAAATGGCATTGCTGCAAAAGCCAGCTTTTGGAACCTTTATTTTTAAGACAGTCACTCAGTAACTGGAGATGTGCTGTTGTTGCTTTTGGCCGACAGCAGGCTCATTATTTGTTCACACTGGTTACACATCACTGTAAGATACACACACACACACATAAACCCAGACAGATGGATGAGCGTCTCATCACTCTCTGAAAGGGAAGACGAAACTTTCTAATGCACGTTTGCTCACTCACTTCATCAAATACTGTAAAGGATGGGGGTTTATTAGGAGTCACGCACCCCGGCAAGCCCACAGCTGTGATGGAAGTGTGTCCTGTGGTGCAACAGGCCCCCCATTAAAGCCATTGATCTTGCGTGTGGAGTGGAGTCTCTCTCTCTTTCTCACACACAATCTTTCTCTCTGTGGCTCTGCGGTATCTGATGGTCGGCATTGATGATTGGATTTAGTAACATCAAAGCTAAGTGGACTTCGGTCCGTAATAGTGTGCTGCTATTCATAGATGCAGTTTCTCCTCTGTTTTCTCCTTTATGCCTGGGAATCTGTGTCAGTGGAATCAGTGTACGTGTGTACGTGTGCGCGTGGGCTCATTCTGTCGGTGTGAGAAATGCCTGTGTGCTCTTTCCGCTGCTTCTGTAGCATACTGATGAAGCGGTCGTCGTGTGACATACTCCTGCAACACACACATGCAACACGCAGCATCACCATGGAAACACCTCGCCTGACCACGCCACAGAGCCATTCATAGGATGTGTGTGTGTGTGTGTGTGTGTGTGTGTGTGTGTGTGTGTGTGTGTGTGTGTGAGACGGGGTCTCTCTTTCCCCCTGTGTGAAGTTGTGTTCTCCGCCGGGGATGCTCTGACAGTTAACTGAGTCTGAAGTTAATTACTAGAGTTATTTCGTATGTCGTTCCCCAGAGTGGCTCATCCTGGAGTTTCAACACGCATACATTAGAGCCTTCATTGACCGGGTGATGTACATGACCAGATTTAAAAGGGACAAATTACCCAAAATTTAAAATTCAGTCATCATTTCCTCACCCTTATGTTAAAGTTTCTTTCTTCAGTGAAAGAAAATATTTTGAGGAATGACTCTGTGTTTTAATTGTCCGTATAATGACAGTCAAAGGGGTCCAATGTCGTTTGGATGCTAACATTCTTGAATATTGTCTAATTATACACGTTCTTATATTTTCCTTATGTTTCGATGTAAAAGTGTAGATTTTTACTGTAGTGAAGAATTCGAATATTGTCTTTGACTTCCATGTATGCGGTAGATCTGTATATTTCTATATTATATAAATATAATCTTCTAATTATAGCTGGTGAAGTGGATTTACTTATTGTAGAGTTAAAGCTGCTGTAGGTAACTTTTGAAAAAATGTATTTGCTAAAACTGTCATTATGTCCTGACAGTAGAATATGAGACAGATAATCTGTGTAAAAATCAAGCTCCTCTGGCTCCTCCCAGTGGTCCTATTGCCATTTGCAAGAAATACACGCTCCCGGTCAGAAACAACCAATAAGAGCCGAGAGGAGTGTCTTAGCAGTGTCAGTCACGCTCGTGTACGCGCTGATCACACCCCTCTCTTGCACAGCGCGAGCCGTCGTTCAAACTCAAGATTGCCGGCGTGCTGCAGCTGTGCTTATGACGGAGAAACAACCTAAACTGCCAATTCTCGAGTGACATCTGCTCATAAAACAAAGAGGTAAAAGGAAAAAGACTGATGACGATAAACAAGCGAAAAAGAAAGAATTACACAGAGCCCATTGACTTGTAGATAAAATGTCACACACTCTGCTAAGCAACAATTGAAACCTGCTAATTCACTGGCTTGTCATGTTGCTGAAATAATGTACTAGCACACCTTATCTAGCATTATATATCGCTAGAATAATTACATACTGTAACGTTAGTTACCGTTATATTAACGTTATCTTACTAGCTATTTATAACTTATAGAAAGAGTGCAACGTTATAAAGTTACATGTAGGCTATTGCAAAATACATAATGATTTGAGGACCAAGTTTGTAGTCAAAGTATGGGCAGGCCATAGTCAATGTAAAGCATATTATTGACGTTTAGTCCCTATTAGTGAATGTGCCGTATAACTTTTTATCCGTCATCATCGGTGGCCCTGTTTACTAGCCTGCGCGTTCACGACGGGCTCCGCTGTGAAGGACGAGCTGTGGAGGGAGGGCTGTAGCGCAGCAGAGAGCAAGGGGGTGGGACCTGTAAGTTGTGCTTGTTCAAATTTTCAGGCTAAGTCAACGTTTTCTCAAAACTCCCTACTGCAGCTTTAAAGGAACACTCCTACTTGGGCGGAGTGAAAACCGCAGCACCTGAGACGCGCCGTGGTGAGGAGCAGAGAGCGCGTCTCAGGTGCTGCGGTTATCACTCCACCCAAGTAGCAGTGCTTCGCCTTCAGAGAATATAGTTCCCAGTATTTATACGGTTAAAATATGTCTGTCTCATGTGACTTTGTTTAAGGTGGATAAGGTGAATAGGCTAAAGTCCCAAAAAGTCGGAGTGTTCCTTTAAGGAAAGTGATCATGAGCATTGTAATGTTTGAAGCGGATGTCAAAACAAACGTCTTTTAAAACGAGCGGTTCATTCATAAATCCGTAAGATCTTACCTTCATGCTGTGGAAATACAAACCGGAAGACAGAACACAAGGAGAGCAGTGCTGAATAGGGGAGGGGCTACATAAAGTCATAATATAGGTCTGGCTAAAATAATATTTTTTTTCTATTTTAGCTCCTGATTGTGTCTTTTCATTAGACATTTTCTCAGTGTCATTGTCCCTAAACGATCACCCAGATTCTTGCTGAAGTAGACGACAGTTTGGTTCACACTTTACTTCTTATATTGTTATAAACTATAGCTATATAAAATATAGCAACATTTGCTGTCTGATGGTTGGCACACAGGTCCAGAATTTTTGTGTTAGTTTAGTGTTATTATGACTCACTAAACAGATGGATTGCTATTTTTGACAAGTGTTTTTTAACAAGATGAACAGCGATATTTGGCCTGAGGAAACATGACAAGGCATGTCTATGTCTGGCACTGTCTGGTACCACCATGAAGTTTGAAGCCATTCGAATTCAGTTTGACATTCAATTTCAGTTAAAGGTCCATCTTTGCTACTGTACGTGACGTATGCTAGTATGACACACTGGCCTACTAATGTCACTCAGCTGTCCTGTACTCCCCTGCTCCCCCACACTGTGCTGTTCAATCAGCCTCATTACCCACAAACCCTCTGTTCTACCCTCAGTGGCCCACAATGCCGATGAATCACAGTCACATTAATAAAAGGCCAGCTCTCATAGGCAGCCTCGGTACCATATGGCTCGTTGAAATAAAGAACAGTCATTTTAAGAGTCAACGGTTTCACATTTACTGCGATAGTAAGACTTATGGTATGAGTTTTAGTTTAGCTGTTGTTATTTCAGTCCATGCTAAACCATAATTGGATCATGATTTTCATGAAAATGGAAATTATTGTTTTGTGCACTTTCAAGAAATCCGATCCACAAGCTGCATGGACAGTGGCCACCAGATGGCGGCGGTCTGTGCCTCTCAATATTCAGATTATGGGGTTTGAAATGGTTGATTCATTTTAATTGTAGTTTAGGTTTTATTTATTATGTCTTTATTTCAGTTTTCTAATTTTCTTTTTTTTTAGTTTAAGTTTTATATTTATATAATTTTATTTTAGTTTTATCTCAATTATTGAAAAGGTATTTTTAATAGACTAAAAGCTAAAAACTATAAACTAAAAGTTGTAGTTAAAAACTACAACACTGTTTGTTACTGACTGTTACTGTCTATAAAGTATATTTATGTAATATATTAAGCATTATTAACCTTCAACATAATTCTAAACATCCTTTTAACCCCATACAGTAAGTCTGGAATAAAATGATAATTGAGTAAGTTGTGTATGTGAGATAAGTATGTATGTATGTGTATGTATGTAGGTATATATACAGTATATTACATTTACAAACTTTTACGTTAGATTTGACAGCACTAATAATAAAATATACTTCTGTTTGAACCACGTGATCAAAAAGACTTGATGTCACTCGCTGAAATATGCTGAAATATTAATATAAAAGTGTTTTATTTGTTATTGTTATTAGTAGTAGAATATTATATTATTATCATTATTATTATTGCATTATACTAAATAGAGCTTTAAGTCATGGGTCATGGGCACACAAATAGCCCAGTTTTCAGAAAATGGTAGAAAATATATCACAATCAGTAGATAAAAAATTAATTTTTTTTGGATTTACAGAAAGCTTTTGATACCATCGATCATAGAATATTATTATTATATAAATTGGAAAAATATGGATTTAGGGGAAATGCATATTCTTGGTTAGAAAATTATTTAACAAACCGTTTTCAATATGTTATGAATCAATATAATATGAATTTAAATGGAGTTGCGTCCTGCTTTCAGAGAATTAATTGTGGCGTTCCGCAAGGCTCTGTTTTAGGCCCCAAGTTATTTTTGTTATATATAAACGATATTTGTAAAGTGTCGGATGTTTTAAATTTTATTCTTTTCGCAGGTGATACAACAATTTATTGTTCTGGCCCAAATCCTACAGAGCTTGTGTTGGTGGTAGAGAAAGAATTATATAAACTAAAGAATTGGTTTGATTTGAATAAATTGTCACTAAATTTAAATAAAACGAAATTTATGGTATTTAGTAATAAAGAGATAAATAATGAGATCAGGATTACTATTAATCAAAATGAATTAGAAAGAGTAAATCATATAAAATTTCTTGGAGTAATTATTGATTGTAAAATGACATGGAAACCGCATATTTTTAACGTTCAGAAGAAAGTATCAAAAACGATTGCAATTTTGTAAAAGTTGCAATGTATTTTGAACAAAAATGCATTACATTTACTTTATAGTTCACTTGTCACACCATACTTAACGTATGGTATTGAAATATGGGGAAATACATACAAAACTAGAACCAATCCAATTTTCCTATTACAAAAGAAGGTTATCAGATTAATTAACTATGCACCTTACAATTCACCAAGTAATTTACTGTTTCATCAATCAAAAATTTTGAAGTTTTATGACTTGAGTTGATTTGTACACGGTAAAGTTTATTTACCAAGTCAAACATAATAAAACTCCTAAATGCTTTCAATTATTATTTAACCAGCGAGAAAGTAAATATAATCTCAGAGGACTATGTATATTTAACCAACCACAAGTACATTCTACATTAAGAGAACACTGTTTAACAAATAAAGGAGTTAAATTGTGGAATAGTTGCTGTAATGAGTTAAAACAAGCCACGTCTATTTTTCAGTTTAAAAAAATTTACAAGAGATTAACATTGGAAAAATATTTAATAAAATGAAAATTAATTAAATAGGCTTGCTTCTGGTGTGGACAATGGTCCACTAATGTGTTAATGTTAATTTTATGAACAGATGGTGTCATTAATGAGTTGCATTTATGATTCTAAAGTTAAGGGCAGGCACAATAAGCTTTAGCTTCTGCCTGCACCTGGTCATCTATAGTGTTTATGTTTCGAATGATTTGATTGATTGAATGATCTGTAAATGACCAAACCGAATAAATGAAATGAAATGAATGAAAATGACCCAATATTTGTTAAAATAGCTTTCAGAAGCCTTTTATTTTGCTCATGTAACCTATTCATATGTATGTAGATTTTGATTGATTGATTGAGATCTTAAATTCACTTCAATTATCATCCACAGATCTAGTTTGCATAGAGAAGTTGTGAAAAATGACTGTTTCTTGGGTACAATCTGGGCTCTTCCTGAACTGTGTGTTATGAACGATTTAGATGTGTATTTACACTCAGTCCTTCTGCTGTTTGCAAATATTGAATTTCTTGTTGTTTGGTTTTGTGCCATCCTGCAGCACAGTCAAACTTTTCGTTTTCTTTTATCTTTCCTAAGTGGAGCTCCCATCGAACATGTCTAAAAGGAGTCTCAATCAACTTCCAACAAGACCACATTCACCTCCTGCCTTATCTTCATCATCATCATCTTCATCTCCTCAGCGTTCAGAAAGAACCAGGCGTCCAGCTCACACGCCACCAGGTGCCAAACATCCCTCGTCCCCTGGTCACCACGACAGTGCCTCCAGTATAGATCCTACCCCGTCCCTTGGCTCCGAAGGGTCGGGTAACCTAGGCGACGGGGCCCAGGGCATCCACTTGCTGTTACGGCCCCCAGACCTTCTAACGCCCAGCCAGATGCCTCCTCTCCATGGCAACAGACCGCCTACGCCAGCTCCCCCGACCCTGGTACCGCCCGAAGACCTGTATCCCGCCCACTCTGCGGAGGTGGACTGGGGATCCGGAGACTACCTGGAAACTCTTACGTTCATGGGATCCGAAGGGGAGGAGTTTTCTCTCGTCACCACCCTTCCTACCCATGGATACGATCCGTATGATGCTGACGATGACGCCACAGTCAGCTACAACACAGCTTTCCCCTCTCGTCCCATCCTGCCCCTCTCGTCCAGAGACCTCCAGCCCAGCGCGACCGTAAAATACGGGCATAACTTAAGGACGGCCCATCCTACTGATCCCCGCCTTCCATTGGCTCCTGACTCTGCCCACACAAGCGATATGGACGATGATTTGGATTTCGATTGGGCGGAGCTTTTTCCCATTGAGCCAACTGAAATGCTGCTTCCCGACATGAACAGTTTGGAATACTACAACACGTTGCAAGCCAAAGAGAACGCTAGTATTGCGAGGAATAGGACGCACCCTCACATTACCCCAACGCACACTGTAGGAACCCCCCACACTACCACTGCAACTTTGGGAAAAGTCCCTGATCATATTGACCTGACAGCCCCTCAGCCCATTCCATCAGTGACCCCAACTCCACCCCAAAAACCTAAGCCTCCCATCCCATCAACCACCGAGACCCAACGACCTCCTGAAGCCCCAAAGAAGGGTGTTCCTTCCATACCCACGTCCTATGGGGGCAAAACCCGACCGTCAGTGCCAACTGCCCTGCCTCCACCCGGCACCTTTGAGGGTCCAGTAATACAAGCCGTCACGCTGAAGCCCCCTGCTACGAAACCCCGTACAACCATCAAAACCCCCATCAGAACTACAACTACAACTAAAACCACGACTACCATGAGCTCCACCAAAAGCCCACCGCCTACAACTCCCAGAATTCCTCTGTCCATCGCACCCCGACAGTACATTTGCAACATCACCAAACCGGACATGTACCTAGTCAGAGTGGGTAAGACAACAAGATATTTAAATTTTGGGAAATTAGGGATGCACAATATGTCGGTAATATATCAATTACTGGCTGATTAAAATTTTCTCTATTTTAGCATTTTGTTAATCACACTAATTTATCATTTAAATTTAACACTGTTAAATGTCATTTTCAATTCATTTTTGTTTTAATTCATTTGTTTTGCATTACCAATATTTATTACCAGTATTATTAATTATTTCTTTATTTTTATCCTATTTATTTGTATACCTTATATATAATTTATCATTATTGTGCACACTAATTTCCTCTGTTTTCACATTTAGTTAATCTTTAAAATCTGTAATAATTTACATTTAAGACTTAAGATTATATTTAACAGTGTTACATTATTTTAGTATGTTGTGATGGCCAAAAAAATTGTTTTCATTTATTTGTGTAATCCTATTATTTCACTTTATATACAGGTATATCTTTTTTTCATCTCTTATGACCTTCTTGTGTGACTCTTGCAGGAATGCCAAGTGGGTCATCCGTGGCGTTTGCCAAAGCTCATGTGCGGGAGATTCTTCGACGAGAGTTCAACCGTTCAGTTGAGCTACAGGTCAGTGAATAAGATCACAACAGATCACACATCAGCATTTTATCTTTAGGATCACTGATATCAATCTGTGCTATCAATCCAGGTCCTCAAAGCCCCGCCCAATTTCATCTTCCGGGCAGTCTCCGGTCCGTTAGTGTACACTGCTATGTCCGTCATCAATACTCTCCGCCAATCAGCACACAGCACTTCTTATTCTACCATTCTATCCGTCACAACCATATATGCAGTGCCCGATTACAAACATCAGGTCCACACAGGTGAGAGAGACACCAACATACAACCAATATAACCAGAGAATGGCATGCTCACGTGTGGTTAACTCAAAAAAGGAAACAAAAAAGTTACTTAATTATTTCATTTATTTTTATTTAACATTGTTTCTGAGCAATGATTCTAAAATAAATTATAAAACAATTTTTTATAATTTTTTTAATTATAAAAAACTAATATTTTAATATTATGTAATATAAAATAATTGTATTATAGAATATAGAAGTATAATATAAATATTGTATTTATATTTTGAGAATGAGTGTTATATTAGTTTATTTTTCTTGCAGTGCTGCAGTTTGTGCCGAGTCATGTGGACGTGCGTCTGTGTAGCTTCAGCGAGCGTGTGGAGAAGGGGCTACTCATGGCGTATGCGGAAGTACGCAAGCGCTCGCAAGAAAATGGAAATTTCACAGTTCACGTACGTAAATCCTTTAGAACCACTTGCAGAGACAAATTCAAAATAAAACACATTTTTAGCACTTTACATGAATTTGAACTCTTACATGAACACTTTACTGTTCTTCCATGAACAGCTTGTCAACAAAAAAAGTTTAATTCTGTGTTTTGCTTTTCTTTAAATTGTATTGATAATGCTGTATCATTGTTTTGTCTAGATTGTGAATATCACTAGTAGCATTCCTAAGGGTCAGCGGCAGCAGAAGGCTCCGGTGGACATCACCTTTGCTGTGCGTGACTCCCAAGGCTTCCTAACGGGATCAGACGTGAGTGGCCACATGAGGCAGCTCAGCACTGTGGAGTTCAGCTTCTATCTTGGTTTTCCTACCCTGCAGATCGCTGAACGTGAGTTGACATATACACACACAGGCTCTTTGTCTTAATTTATTATGAACCTTTTTTATTTATCATCTCAATTTTTGTCTTCCAGCTTTTAATTATCCTGAACTGAATGTGTCCCACCTTTTACGCACATCCTGGGTGAAAACAGGTATGTGGGTGTATTAGAAATTTCAAACAAACTGATTTTGAGATGAAGACCAATATTGGAAGTTCATCATTATAATTATATAATATTAATTTATATTTAGGTAAAATATAGATTGTTACATATAAAATAGATTTTATGTGTAGATTTTTGGGTAGCATACAGGATTGATGCTGGTCCATTCTGTACAAGATAACAGCCAATATGTATATTTAAAAATAATAATAACAATATAATGGACAAATTAATGGACATTTACTTAATAGTGTCTAGATGAACACTGTTTTTGTGTTCATCTGATCTATACATTTTAGTAAAAAAGGACTTATACCCATCTATCTATAAATTACAGGAACGTCTGTCTGTCTGTCTGTTTGTTAATCGAATATCTCTTGAACCGTTAGTCTGATGGATAGTCTGAACAAATACATTTGTTACATTATTCTTTTCGAAAAAAGTAGCGATTCTTTTTGGAAAAGTATCGATTCACCTTTGAAAAAGTATCGATTCACTTTCGAAAAAGCAGCGATTCATTTTTGAAAAAGTAGCGATTCATTCTTAAATAATAGCACCTATACATTTTTATTAAACTAAAAGGCAGGCATATTTAGACTAGTCAGATGTGAAGGAAACAAAAATATTAACATTTTCTTTTTTATGTGCATTTGCTTTAGTTTTACTGGGTGTGTTGGACCAGCGTGTGAATGAAAGGACGTTCCAGGCCAAAATGGAGAGGCGGTTAGCACTGCTGGTCGGAGAGGGACTTGGGATTGGGGTTAGCAATCGACGATGGAGAAGAGCTACTAGTATTGGCAACAACAGTGTGCAGGTACATACAAACACACATACAAAAGTGTACGCACTTTTTCTATCCTTCCCACACATGACATAAGCATGAACCCTGGTGTGCCTCAGATCGTTCGAGCGTCCCGTCTGGATGGCCCAGACTACCCGTTGGAGCTGGTGTATTTTGTGGAAGCGGGGTCAGGAGAGAGACTGCCAGCCCAGGCCACTGCAGTCATGCTCAACAGACTGAACCTGCAGAGAGCTGCCATCGTACTGGGCTACAGAGTACATGGAGTTTTGGCCACACGTGAGTCAAAACTGTATCGACTTGGAATTGGCTTTAAAGGGGTCCTGACATGGCTTTTTAAATTATTTTAATATGTTCCTTGAGGTTCACTAATATTGATAATGAAGTTTTTGCTCACAAAACATTTTTTTAAGGCAGGCTCTTCTTGTCAGTAAATGACCACAGTTATGATTGGCTAACGTCATTGTATAGGGAAAAGTATTAACGGCCCCTCACTATTGCGCATGAGTAAGTGTTTTAAAAACATCCATATAAAACCGAGATTTAAAAAAGATTTAAAGATTTGAACAAGATTTTCTTTTCGAACTTTCCATTACACTGTGTCTGCAGTCAAATGCTCCGAACAAACATATAATCCTCCGATGCGACTCAGGACGTGATTAAAAATGAGCCATCCACTTGTTCCTGATGCCTCAACCCTTCCGTACAGAGATGCAAACGAGCTGTTTAAACAGGACGCGTCAAAGTGAACGTTCCTTTACGCTTCTGTTTGTCCTGTTGTCAGCAGACAACGCGTGTAGTATGTCAGAAACTGAACGCACATCTGTATACTGTGTATCCAGTGTAGACCGCGTCAGTAATTTTATAATGGGTTCTATTTGCTTTTGACGTGCCTTTAAGCGACTGAACGCCCGTGGGCGGGGCCTATGGTGCAATGATGTGAAACTATATGAAAATGTATTTGGCTGTAAAATATAACTATTTTTGGAGCTTGGTTAAATCATTTTTGTAATGAAGAGGACGTTTTTACCATGAAAATTGCAGGATGTTTTAATGTTACAAAGACCACTTATATGTCAAAAGCTCAAGGAAAATTGTATTTCTCAAGTCATGGCCCATTAAAGACACTATTTAAATTAGCAAATGGGATCTTTTTGGTGCCAAATATCACATTACTCTGTTTCAGCGGTGGAGAAGCTGGCCCTTCCGCCCTCTGAGACTCAGTCCAGTAACATTTGGCTGATCGTAGGAGTTGTGGTCCCAGTGCTGGTGGTCATCCTCATCATCATCATCCTTTACTGGAAACTGTGCCGCTCTGAGAAGCTGGAGTTTCAACCAGACGCCATGAGCACCATCCAGCAGAGACAGAAGGTCTGGGTCTCTGAGTGTGTGAGTGTATGAATGTGTTGCCCACTCATAAACACTACATGTGAAGGAGGTTCGTGACTGTGCTCATTATTGCTCACCCATGTCAAGAGCTTTTACGGAAAAATGAGCTACTTTGCAACAGTGAATTTAGCATGTTGTATCATATTTACTGTCCATTCATGTGTGTTTGTGATTTTAGTTGCAGCCTCCCAGCGTTAAAGGTTTTGATTTTGCTAAGCTACACCTGGGGCAACACAGTAAGGATGACATCATGGTAATCCAAGAACCCGCTTCTTTACCGCCGCCTGTTAAAGAGGCCACGCCCTCTGAGGGCGGAGAATTGAACACTCCTAAATCGAAGAGCTCATCTACAAAAGCATCACGTGCAGCACGGAGAAGAGGCCGGTAAGGAACTGTTGATCATGTGCCTGTGCCATGTGATATGGATTGCGTGTGAACAGGTTCTGTTTGTATCAGTGGTATTTCAGTATTATTTGTATTTATATTTTCAATTTTCATTTTAATGTTTAATTTGTCATTTTTATGTGCTTTTCTCTTTTTTATATTACTATTTAGGTTTTATTTATTTTTATTTCAGTTTTAGTTTTTATTTATGTACAGTTAGCAATTTTTATTGCTTCAACGTAAATTTATTTCATTTAGGCATAATTTCGAATCTTCACAATAACAACGCTGGTTTATATGAGTTTTTAATCACACAAATGGTGTTTTTGTCAGATTGTCTCCATCTGATGGAGATTCGTTAGGAAGTGAAGCATCCAGCGGTAGAGAATCAGCTGAGGAGAGCACCAGACCTGCTGTGACGCCAAGTGACAGCAAACCCCAACATCGCAAGAACAAGCATGGTACCAAATGACACAAACACACACACACACACACACGTTTCTGAACGAATCCCCGTTTTTAACGAATCGGGTGAACCAATGATTAAATGGTCCATTGATAAAGAGAGCCATTTACATCGTTCGTAAATAATATTGTTACAATAAATTATAATAATTCTTTCGATAAATTAATTAATAAATAAAAGTAAAATATAAAGTTGCTTTGGAATGATTTGTAATGTGAAAAGCTAAATTAAATTACATATCAAATAAAATGAATGAAATTAAACCTCTTTCTCTCCATTTATTCCTGCGTTTCAAAAGCAAAAAACAAACATGGTAAGTTTCTTTACCCATAGTCAAGTTGCATTTGTATATTGTTAGTTAAAAATGCGTGACCTTTGACATCTGGCCTTGATGTTCAGGTACTCAGCCTGGAAGTGGTGTGGATGAGCAGTTGTCCTCGTCGTCCATATTTGAGCATGTGGACCGCCTGTCTCGAGGTTCATCAGATGGAACACGCAGAGTGTCCAATAAGATACAGCTTATTGCCATGCAGCCCATGCCAAGCCCTCCCTCCTATCCACATAACCAAGCCCTGAGTCCCAACCTGACGGACAAGATGCATGACGGAGCAAATGTCAACAGTGAGGTAAGCAAACTCCTCTTCACATACATAAATGCATGCACCTCACACTTGCATAATCCAACATTTCCCAAAATATTCATCAATAAATTATGTATGATTTGAAAATTATGTCATCTTTAAGAAAACATTCATAACTTATTCCCATTCTTCCAACTGACGCAGATCCAAGTGGCCTTAAGGCATAAATCTGAGATTGAACACCATCGCAATAAGATCCGCCTGCGTGCCAAGAGAAAGGGCCACTATGAGTTTCCCTCCATGGAGGACATCATGGCAGCGTTCGCCGACAGCTCCGAGCAGCAGCGAGTGTATCAACAAGCTCAGGAGCAGATACACAAGATCCTGCATCCTGAGGAACACACGTCTTCATCGCGCGGAGAGCCACGCAAAAGGTCAGTGGAAATAAATCTCACTGGTCTTGTACTTTCCCAGTTTGCTACCAAGGAAAGTGAATGCAATTTGTTTGGGAATTGCAGTTCCAGAGGAAAACGCTCTCCCAGGCACAAACAGAGACCAAATTTGAGTGGAAGCGGAAGTCTCAGAGACAAAGATCGCCTCATTAATGACGGAGATGCCACGTACAGGAAGTACCCCGGGGTCAACAACGTAGCCTATGTGGTAGGACACACGCATATATGCATATATGTGATTTCACTGAACTAAAACACGCAGACTCACCGATTCTCTTCCTGTAGTCAGATGCAGATCAGCTCCCAGATGCAGAAAGCCCTTCTCCTACTGATGAGGTGTTTTTGGACCCTGGATCACCACCATCTGGCCCCGCCCCTGCTCCGCCCACCTACGCCCCCCCTCAGCCAACCATAGAAGAAGCTCGGCAGCAGATGCACTCGTTATTGGATGATGCTTTTGCTCTCGTCTCACCCTCTTCTCAAGGAAGCCCCGCTCCTCTAACGTTCACTGGCATTACTGCGGTCACTGGCGTTGGAGGAATCAGCCCCGGTCAACCCTCCAGCCCGTCCTCACGCCCCTCACGCCAATGGGGCTCCTCTTCTTACCCAGCAGCCCCTGCACACAGTCCTTTCTCTACGGTGAGTGACTGTGGATATTTGAATGATAAAAGTTGAATGCAACTAATGTGACATTTCATGTGAAATATCTCTTCTCTCTCTGCTCTGTAGAGGTATGCTGAGTTAGGAATGTCTCCCACATCGGTACAGGGTTTACTGCAGAGGTGAGGAGGATTCTGGGAGGTTTTATGGAATAAGCTAACAAGAACAGTCAGGAGGAAGCAATTTGATATGTAAACATGATAAAGAAGGATTATGTTCCTTGTTAAACTGGGAACACAACCCTGCATCTTGAAAACAATTGTGCTGATCTGCAAAAAAGGCCTAGTATTACCTAATTTGATCCTGTTAAAAACTTACAATCCTCAAAAGAAATGGAATTTTTTTTTTTTTTTTAAATAATCCATTTAATGTCAAAGAACTTTAAAATAAATGATAACAAAATAAAAAATTCCTGTGGATGTAGTAAACCACCCTCAGATTTAGTAAACAACATCTGGGTCATCTTTGCTCAAGACTACTTGATTTTACAAATGGTTGTCGAAAGCAAAACTGCTACTAAACGCACATCATATTTAGTGTTTTTGGAATCAGCCCCCCAAATTAGTGAGAAACAAGTATTGGATTTCTTGAATTGTTGGTATTTTATTAATTATTTATTTCTCCCTGATTCTCACAAAATATATATATATTTTTAAATAATTAAAAAAATATTTTTAAATATTTAAAACGTATATATTTAAAATGATATTTTATGAAATGCACATAATATTTTATGATACAGTGTGATGTGCTAGAGCAAAACAGGCACTATTTGTTGGAATCAGCACCCCAAAATTAGTAAGAAACAAGTAAGCCCCTTTCACACAGCGCGTTGATCCCGGGAAATTGCCGGGAAATTGCCAGAGTGCCTTCTGTGTGAACCCAAACACGACCCGGGATTGATGCCGGGATCGATGCCGGGTTGGGGACCTAGTAACATTGCCGGGATCAGTCCCGGAACGCGCGCTGTGTGAACAAAAGCCGTAACCAATGCCGTGTCGTAATGATGACGCTGAAGTGAAGTGAAAGCAGGCTAGTGAAACGGTACGTAATGCGCTAGTTTATGATCGAATCAGAGAAAGAAATGCACAAGCGTGGTTTCTCCAGAGAGAAATCGCAGCTCATAAGCAAACTATACACGCTGCTGAGACATTACATGTCACATCGATGTCACGTGTCTTTACGGGTTGTGTGTGAACGCACTCTCTGATTCCGGAAAATCACTGGCAGTGTGAATGAACCAAAATCAAAAGAACCCGGGTCAAATCCCGGGTCGCTTTATCCGTGTATTTTCCGGAATCTCTGTGTGAAAGGGGCTGTATTGGATTTCATCCAGCATTTAGGACGGTGTGTTATCAGAGCGAATAACAAGTTTGAGTACAGGAAAAACAAACTTACTAATCTGTCTACTAGTGTATAAATATTGATCTTGTTTAGATTTAATATTTACTTGGCAGATTATTTGTTTAGTTTTGACAGGCAGGCGCAAGGCTCTGAGTATCTGGCATCAGCAGAGATGCAGTCAGATCCTGGATACTCCAGCAGGGGACAGTATGGAGAAGAGATGCCTTCATCTTCTCGGCCACGACCAGTGGGAGGAAGCACAGGTAAAGGTCATATTAGTTAAATTTAACATGTGCTTTATGTGCTATGATAATTGCTATATGTTGTGTGTGTGTAGGTGCACAGTTGCATCAGCTGACACAAGTGGGCTTGTCAAGTCGGATTGGAATGTATCCTGGAGTTGGCCGTAGTGTATCTGGACCCTCAGGATCAAGCTGGACACAGTACCGCTCAGATGAGGAGATCTCTAGGCCAGGATCCAACCGAGAGGCTGTAAATCAAACATGCACATTCATCATAAATTTTTCAGAATTGTACTAGTAAATATAATATTATGCCATTCAATATGGGATGTTATAAAATCCCAAAACTGTGCTATTGTATTTCCAAAGCACTGCAGTTTAGCTGCATACAATAAAAATCAATGGCAAAAGTGTGAACGGGCAAGTAATAATAGCCTTACATCATTTAATTGGTTTAATTTTTAAATCAAGATCATTCAAAATATTTATTTTAATAATTTACTTAATTTTAAATATAAAATATTTAAATGTAATTTATTTAAAATGTATTTAAAATAAAATGTATATATTTCTATATAATGTATATTTAATTTAAGTTTGTGTATGTTTAATCTGTATGTTTGTTGGTAGTTTATTCATTTTTCTCTCCCCTATTCTCAGAGAATATATTTTAACTTAAATTATGTAAAATATAAATATATGTAAATATTTTTATTTTATATATATATATATATATTTCATTGAATTTAAGTTTGTGTTTAAGCATAATCTGTATGTTTATTATTTTCCTGAATTGTTGGTATTTTATTCATTACTCCTCTCTTCCTCTCTGTTTCTCTCAGATACTGACATTCCCAGAATACTCTTCATCACCTGTATTCCAGATGCCCAGGACGTCCCTGCAGGATCCCACAACACCCCAGGCCCACCTGGAAGCCTCGAGCGCGGGGTACATTGCCCCCGAGGAGCGTTCTCCACCCCCTCACTCCTCTGCCTCTCTCATCAAGGCCATCAGGGAAGAACTGCAGAGACTTTCTCAGAAACAGGCTGCTGTTGTCAGCTACCACAGTTGAGAAAGACCATTCCAAAACCCCAGTCCTGGTTAACTTCCCGATGTACCACATAAACAACCTCACAAATCCCAACGCAGCTCGATGGCTGAGAAACTGCTTTACACAAAACCCAAACCAAAATCTTCAAACTCAAGTACGGCTGGTCTGTTACATATGAAGAAATACTAGCAATCATCCCTGCTTGTATTGGCAGGAGAAATCCACAATTTAAATTTCACTGCTGACATGCAGAAAATACAGTTAAATACTCTCTCCTATGATTCACAATGAAAAAACACACCCTAAACGTCATGTCCAGACTGTTTAGAAAAATAGACAAAGTTGCCCCGTATTCAGACTCTCAATTTGCATGCTGAGAGCTGTGAACCTTCAAGACTTAGTGCTGACTGTTGCTAATGTGAAAATCACTCCCATTCAGTTCCATGTCTCTCAAAGTGCTTCCTTCAAATGGGTCATCTTCGTGTCTCCGGACTTCCTCTGGTGCTAAAAATCATTTCTGGGCTCTGCCACAATACCACAAACTAGCCCTGGCAAAAAACTCTGAAGTGGCGTTCTTCTTTTTTTCTTTTTTGCCGCTGTCCTGTTCTCCCAATTATTCAAGACGGATTATCAAGTAGAAACGTGCTCTGTTCCACAATCTAGTGAGCCTCCCGGAAAAGGTACCCAACATAATTATTTCTCTTTCGAGATTTTCACCAAATTATAATTCTTCAGAGAAGGCAAACCCACACGCATGGTGAACGAGGCAAGAGAAACGTCCATTATAAAGTTATAAATGTTTATAAAAGCTTTAAAAGAATTATTTAGCTCAACATTTGTGCGTTCTGTGTATTTTTATACTTATTAGAGTGTCATGCCGTTAACTTTGCAAAATGCTAACGTCAAAGTCTAGACAGGGCAAGAGAAATGTCAGTTATAAAGTTTGATGAATTTCATTCAGTAACGTTCATAACTTTAAAATCTATTATTTTACCCAACATTTGCGAGTTCTGTGTATTTTTATACTTCTTAGAGAGTCCTTTAAAGAGACTTTGCCTTAGCAAAATGCTAATATCAAAATCTGGTCTAGGCAAGAGAAATGTCTATTATAATGAAATATTTCATTTGATAAGTAGCTTATATTATTTTACCCAGCATTTGTGAGCTCTGTGTATTTTTTACTTATTAAAGTATCACGCCGTTAGCTTAGCAACATGCTAACGTTAAACTCGTTTGATTGAAATCAATTGCAAATCGAGTCAATTTGTGTTGCATCCCATAACAATTGGGATGCTGCCCATGTAGGCAGTCCAGCAGCTCACTAGGTTTTGGAACGAAACCTTCAGGTCTTGCCTTACATTTGAGCTCTGAGTACTTCAAACCCTGCTGGGGAGGGAAACAGATTTTGTTAGGATTGTAAACAGTGAAATTACTCTGCGTACTCTGAGTTTTTGAGCCAGCCCACATGTGGAGATGATCGACAGGCGGCCTCAGTTGCAGACCAGCATGGTTCCCATGCCGATAACATCATATTACTTTGTCCAAGCGGTCTACATCTGAGGAAAAGTATCAAAGCAAACATTCATGATGCCCGTGTGTATTCGTTTGAGCTCTTTTTGCCAGTGGGTTATGAATGTTGGCTGTCCAATCATTTCAGTGTCTTTCTAAGGTATGGCTGAGGTAGTTTCTCAGTTGATATTAATTTTGCACATTTTCTCATCTTTGCACATTCATATCATGGTGATAATGGAAGTCAATCAGTTAAAGAGTTTATTGTGGAAAAGAGAGTATAGTATACAGTAACTATATAAATACTATAAAGAAAGATATGAGTGAGTTCATATTCTATACAAATATATATATATATATTGCATATTAATGTATTAACTCATTGAGCACAATCTGATTATATGTTAGATTATATGTTAAACATATTAGATTGTATTTATTTTTATTGTTATGAAACATATTAAAGATGTGGGAAAAGTGTTGCTATGGGACATTTTAAAAAAAGACCAAATCACTGTTGAGGCATATCGTTCCTTTAGCTTCGTAATTCGGTAGGCATTATCAATGTATTTTCATGTATATGGTCATGTGGATTTGCACAGAGGTGTTGTAAAGATTCCTTTAAGGAAATGTGTTGAGGTTAAAGGCCTTTAATTGCCTGTACTATTTTCCCTCTCTTTATTGTTATTATTTTTTATTTATTTTAGTTATACAGGGTTCCCACACCCGTGAAGAACTTGAAAATATTATGGAAAATTCGTATTTTTCAAGCTTGAAAAAAGGTCATTGAATGATCATCAAAATTTTCATAATTTATATCATATTTTCTAGATTTCAGGTTACAATATATATCTAGTAAATATTTCATTAGCTCGAAAATCGCTCTTTGGGAGTGCAATAAAATGATTTTAAAAATCGTTATCCAATAATCATGACTATAATCAATGATCAACTAATTGAAAAGTCATGGATTGGTCAAAAGGTGTGGAAACCCTTTCGGTCTTTGTTTTTTTGTTTTGTTTTTTTATATCCCTGTCTTTTCTTACATCTAGAATTTTCCTTTCTTCATTCTTTCTATATTTCTATCAATCATGTAGACTCCTGGCAGGCCTGAAATTGGTACGCATGTGAAGTGATGGATTATGCTTTATTTCTTCCTTGTTTATTTTGTGTGATAATGTATTGATGGGCATGCTAATAGTCTTTAAAAAATATTGAAAAAATACTACAAACAAGCTTGATAGAATTTAGCTTACTTTGAAAGACTAATATGTAATGGTTCATTAGACTAAAAACCAATGGTCAAAGCACAGAGAAACCATCCTGATCATCAAAAAAAGAAATTTTCAGTATTTTGTCATTTTTAAATCTGAATAATATTTTTGAAAGTATTTGCAAATCAATATTTATGACTAAAATATATCCCATAGAAAGATATGTAAACGGACATTTCTCCATATTTAAATATTCAGTATGTAGTCCACAGTTGACCAGTAAGAGGCAAACATCATTGTCAGACGCCCCCTTTCCCACTGTGCAAAGACCAACTGTTTTTTTTTCTTTCATATTTTTTTCTAATTTTGTATATTTCTTAATGAGAAGTGTACGCATTCATAAAAAGACTATGTTGAGAATAAGTGTTATATTTCAGTCAATTGATTAACATGGTGCTATACTCAATATGTGTGTGTGAGAGAGGTATTTTGACTGTCTGAAACCATCAAACCCTTACAGCGTTTAACTGAACTTAATAATATTTATAGCAATTGCAATGTGCAAACTCTGAGATTAACTGAATGCAGTGTGTGTGTGTGTGTGTGTGCGCAATAGTATACCTCCCCCTGTCCCTATGTCGGTGCCATAGTGGATATCATATAAACTAAATCTTACAGAAAGTTAATTTTTCATTTAATTTAAACTACCTGAAATCTAACCACATTTTCATCTTTCTTTCTCTCTTGGTCTCTGCAAACTGCATCCCAGTATTTGATGTTTAATGTCTCTATATTGTTGTGTAAATTAAATAATAAACAATGTGCCGTCAGTTATTTCTCTTTTGTGTCAGTACTGGGTATAGGTAAGGTAATTTATCTCAATCTGTAATGCAGCATTAATCTAAAAAAGAAAAGATTAATAATACAAATATATCTGAAGCTATTGGTCTTGTAATAGGCTATGTAACCATAAGATGAATCCCAACTGGCAAGTGCACTCTATCTATCTATCTATCTATCTATCTATCTATCTATCTATCTATCTATCTATCTATCTATCTATCTATCTATCTATCTATCTATCTATATTGGAAGAAGATTTAGTTCAAGACTCAGATATGGCTTCAATAAAAATAACATGGTATAAAATAAAATAGGCATAATTCTGAAATGTAAACATGTAAAGGATTAACAAAATGTATTTACTCTGTAGCCTATCACATACATTTAATGTAACACCTTTTCAAATAAACATCTATTCAATGTAGCCTATGTCAACTGTTTTGAAGTAGGCCTACGCTTTCATCGACTTCACTACATAAAGTAGTAGGCTAGCCTATGTAGTGAAGTCGATTGGACTTTTTGTAAACGGTCTGAAGGGATACGTTGAAAAGATTGTATTCATAAACATGATTTAGCCTATTCACGAATCGCCCATCCTTCATTACAGTAACGAGGCTAGCCAATGTCGACGATCAGGATGTTTTGGTCGCGCCCACTTCGGCTGAAACCTTGTAACATTACTCACACATCTCTTGCCTAACAGGTCCGTATAATTGCAATTGTTACCGTTTGACGAGAATGCACACTACAAACATGTCAGTGCCCACAGCTTTGTTTACAAGATTTAGGTCAGTACTCAGGCACAGGAGAGCAACACTAAAACCTGCTTGTCCACTTAGAGAAGCTGCGTCCACTCTCGATAAACAGCGAAATAATCCAATCCACAGTTCCTTACAAATAGAGCAAAGTAACACGATATTGGGCGTGTTATCTTGCCGCCCCCCCGGGACAAATAAAAAATGAGTCATGTCCCTTTAAAAGTTAAGCAGAACCCCTTCCAAGCTGAAGGTTGTGACGTTGTTTAGGCTACCTGTCGGCAGGTGTGTGAGGGTGTTACTGCGGGAGAGGTTGATGCTGTATCTGGGAGTTTTAAAATTTCCACAGAGTTCAGAATCTCGATTATATAAGCGAAGTAGGTAGGATTTTCTAGTTCAGAAATCTCCTGGACCCATTTTTATCAGCGTTTTGCGAGACTGATTTGCATAAATCGCTGAAAGGGCTTGACACAACATACGGGAATTTCTTGAAGAGCTGCCTGTCTGTCAAATAGACGATACAGTATCAAAAAGTGTCAATCGGGGTGAGATGCGATGGGAAAAGCTTCCACATGACGGAGAATCGTGTTTGATGAGCTCATCATCCGATGTTATAGTAAGGATTTATTATATGCTCACATAAAAAATACATATAGGCTAAGTATTAAGTAGATTAGTCTACTGTGTGGTGTAATTTTGTCACTCATTGTAACATAAATAATCAGAGCACTTAAAAAAATACTGTGGCTGTGCATAGGTATCAAGTGGTCATAAAATGCTACTGAATGATAAAACGTATTGGTATTCCATATTTGTTTAATAATCAAAAGGTACATCAAAGAATATCATGATACCATGGTTCTTGTCCTAGAAAACTTGTTTATGTCCAAAAAAAACATGATATTATCATGGTATGTGTCCAGAAACATCGTGTAACCTTTGTCCAAAAAATAGGGGATTACCATGGTACCATGTCCAAAAACATGGCAAATTTCCCTAAATCCATGGTATTATCATGGTACATGTCAAAAACAACATGTCCAAAAAGTATGATACCACTATATGTTTTTAAAGCATTCTTCTGTTGCTTTAAGGTCTTAGCCTTTTTTTGTTAACATAAAAGTTTCATCCAAACTTTCCAGTGCCTACGATTGAAGAAATAGCTCGACTTTTTAGAGAGGATGGCATTAAAGCGATCGTCTTCCATGAAGACCCAGCTGGTCAATGGCATCCAGCTTCAGGAATTGGAGCTGGAGGAAGAGATCAACACCAGTAGCAGCAATAATAACACACCTTCTGAACCTGCCGAGGCCAAAGGTAAGGAACAAGCAGACAAACAAACTTAAAGTAGATATGTTTATACTCTCAGAGAGCAATGCAATCCCTCAAGTAGCTTCCAGTCACTTAATCGAGTGGGATTTTGACCTCTGTAGCCCACACAGAACCGAAATGCTACACCGTTGAGGAGGCTGTGGAGAGCATCGGCTTTGGACGCTTCCATATTCTGCTTTTTGTCATCATGGGTAGTGCCAATGTAAGACAAGTGTATGTGTTTGTCTCTGTAATTCATTAACCTGCATACTGTTTTTACTGCTTACGTGTTTCATTGCTTGTGTGTGTAGATAGTGGAGGCAATGGAGATCATGTTGTTAGCTGTGGTTTCTCCTGAGATCCGCTGTGAATGGCGTCTAGAGGATTGGCAGGTGGCTCTTGTCTCCACGGTGAGGAGCTCGTCCAATTATTTTGTTTTCGTTTTGAAGTTTGACAGGAGTGGAATGTTGAAGTGCAAGATTCACACGTGTCTATCTGACCCGTTTGGTTGAGTTTTCTGTATCTATTTATAGGTGATATTATTTATTTAATGCTAAAATACTTCCTTTTTTTTGTGTGCAATTCCATAATATTCAGAAATAATCATTGAAGGACTTCTATTTTGT